CCTTGATTCTCTCCAACTGGGGCTGAAACTCCTTGAGTTCTCCCACCTGCTTCCGTATTTCTTGGTCCAAGCCCGATGTTTCTCGCTGGAAGTCGTCAAAGAGGGCGGTAGTGGAATTAGAGAGCTCTTGGAAAGAGGCAATGGTCGAGTTCAAGGCGGCAAGCTTCTCCAGCAGGTTATAGTACGTGTAATCCAGTCTACGGGTGATATCCGTTGCGAGGGTCCCGATCAGTGACAGGGCAGACCGTAAAAATCTAACAACCAGTCAAAACCAGCCCATGGATGAACGAAGAACCATTGACTTACTCCTCCCCCTGCTTCCGTTTACTCCTCACCTGTTCCAGGTCTTCCATCGACCTGATTTCATGACGTTTAATCGGGCCGAGCTTGTTGCCCTGGTCGATACCATCAAACAAACTGCCCTTTCTGCTCCCAGAGCTCAAGGCCGCCGTCGACTCCGAGCCCCAGCGTGACCAGGTTGTCTCTTGCGTTATCGGTCTAAGTAAACCATCATCTCCGTCGTTGTCCTTTTCTTTACTGCCGGACCATGTTGGCAAAAGGCCTCTGGCGCCAGCAGATGAGGCGATATTATTCATCCTTCGTGGAAGACGCTTGTCACTAGATTTACTGTACTTGTGTTTGTGCTTCTGACGTGATTTGGACTTCACCCGATCTAGGCGGGGAACATCGAAGGACAGGTGGTGGTGGTGCTGCTGCTGCTTCTCTCCAGTAACACTGAGTGAGCTGGGGGGTTGAGACACCTCACGACCATGGTGGTCATAGCCGGGTTGAAAGCTGCCGGTAGAGGTCTGGTCGTTGGCGTTGGGGGGCTGAGAAATGGGTGGTGCTGGTTTCTGGCTCCTTGCGGTTCCAGAGCCATGGGCCGGTGGGTAAGGAGCGGCCAGTTGTTTGGACGGTTGGGAGAGCATAGCGGGCACGGAGGATCCAGACAAGTGAGCTAACTCTCCACTATTTGTCGCGCCCGACCCGATAGATAGCCCTTCTCGATGTGCTTGTCAACCTGGATGGTCTGATTGAAAATGATGTTCATTATTCATATGACCCCCCTAGGTAGCCAATATGAGACAAAACGTGGTGAAGGTGATGCCAAGCGCTGATCCATGCGTTGGCCAATGCCTTCAATCGGCCCCTGATTGTGCCAACAATTAGCCGGCATCGGATATACTACATAGTACTCCGTAGATTGATTACACGAGAATATAAAATATTGAAAAAAAAAAAAAAAAAAAAAAAAAAAAAAAAGATCATGTGTTGGTGGGTTTTCCTTGGTGACACTGGTGTGCAGTTTACTTGTGAGAGGAACTATCCTGCACAATAAAGGGCAAGTTGGGGAAATAGAATCATTGATCCGGTACATTCATTCATTGTATATACTGATTTGGAAAGTCGATTCCCAACTCCACAGTCGCCAGTAAACTCCTCTCGTCCATAGAGAAACGACAGCCTGCGATCGGCCATAATGCCCAATCCCGGTAAAAAGGACAACAACAAGGGGAAAATATAAACAATGCAAAAGAATTTTGGCGCGGGGGTTGCATCCGCCACTCACTTAAGATGCAGAAAGAATAGGGCAGCAGGGGAGACAAGAAGGGGAAAGGAAAATAGGGTGAGATCATGTCAACAGCATCCAAGAGCTTGACTGCAATCAAGAGTTCAGCAACTTGTTACGCTTCTCCCGCCGCTTCAGGCGCTCGACTCGCTTGCGATGCATTTTCTCTGCCATCTTCTCATAGCGTTCCTTCTCCTCCTTCGCGGCTCGACGATCCTTAATTCTTTGAATATGCGCCTGGATGATTGTCAGCAAAGACAAAGGAGTTCCTTCTTAAGATATGTCGCGGGCTGATCCCACCTTTCTCTCTGCCTCCTTCTCCTCCTTCAGTTCCTTCTCATGCTCCTTCACGGCTTCTTGGTGCTTGCGGGTTTCTAGTCGCTTAGCGTAGGAGGTCATGCCCGCAGTAGGGCGGAACGGCTTCTTGGAATCATGCCAGTTTTTCCCTGCGGGTCCGACAAGCGAAAAGCATTAGCAACAGTTATTTTCGAAGACAAGGGAAAAAAAGTGGGGTAGCCAATTTCATACCATTTTTCCGCATGCCCTTTACGGGTGCAGAAACTGAAGGCGCGGAAGACATGGTCGGACCGAGATGGTGGGGGAGCACGCAGACGGTCAAACAAGCTGGTCGAACAGATGGGGGGATGGGAAGAAGAGAAGGAAAGGAAAGACGACCCCAGCGGATGATCGATAGAATCTTCTTAGCTCTCCGCTGCCCTTTTTTTTGGGGCCTTCGAGTTTTGAGGAAAAAGTTATCTTAGACCGATCAGATAACCGGATCTCGGCAGAAGTGGTACCCCGAGGACCCGTCTGGCATCAGAACATGAGGGATTTGTCGGCGGGTGAGGAGTCTTACGGATCACACTGGGCTAGCTGCTCTAGTCGCAACCAACCGCCGCGAGGTCTACCCCCCACTCATCGTCCATCTTCCGTGTTCCCCTGCCCCCTTGGCCCTTTGGGCTCGTGTTTCTACCTACTGGCAAGCGATGGTCGTTCACTTCTGATTTTACTGCGCGTGGTTCGGGCACACCTCAAGGAAAACCCCTCGTCGACACACCGCCCCTCACCCCGAAGTCTTTAAATACTCTCCACGACCTTTCTTTCCTCGACCAGCTTGCGAGAATCTACAATGCTCACTCGATAGGACTTACCTCTCCCCTCAACCTTCTTTCTTCCTGCATCCTCCCCAGAAGATCGTGCTCCGAGGGCTCAACTGCTCACCTTTCTTTCCCTGATGGCGGCTGCCGAACATGCGATAGCAATCAATGATGATATACCAATGGAGCTTCCTACACTCCCGCCCAACCAGGGCCTCGAGGCCTTCAAAGATATTGTGTTCGGATCGGTAAGTCATGCCGTCGTACCCAGCCACGTAGTGGCGGACTTCGCTAACATTCAAAATCTCTAGGTCGCAGGAATGGCAGGGAAAGTGATCGAGTACCCTTTCGATACTGTTAAAGTGCGTCTCCAATCGCAACCGGATCATCTTCCCCTCAGATACAAAGGTCCTTTGGATTGTTTCCGTCAATCTTTCCAGGCGGATGGGCTACGCGGGCTCTACCGAGGCATCAGTGCTCCCATGGCAGGTGCTGCCATAGAGAACAGCTGCTTGTTCTTCAGCTACCGCATTATGCAAGACGTCTTGAGGGCCACTATCTACTCCCCAACCGACACCTTACCGTTCCCCGCATTGGTATTCAGCGGCGCCGCATCTGGGTCCATTACTTCTCTTGCGCTCACGCCTGTCGAGCTCATCAAATGCAAGATGCAGGTTCCCCATGCGTCTGGCGCAAAGGCGCCCGGGCCTTTGGCTCTGATGGTATCCATTTTTCGTCAAGATGGTATTCTGGGCTTCTGGCGGGGGCAAATGGGAACGCTGATCCGCGAGACTGGTGGTGGCGCTGCATGGTTTGGTGGCTACGAAGGAGTATCTGCACTGTTTCGCGCATCCCGTGCCCCACCTACAGATGCCAGCCAGGATGAAGCAGTGTCTGATGCCATTCCAATTCACCAGAAGATGATTGCGGGTGCAGCGGCAGGTGTAAGCTACAACTTCCTGTTCTACCCTGCCGATACGATCAAGTCGCGCATGCAGACCGAGGACGTCACCCAAGCAGCTTACAATGGCAAACGTCAGACATTCTGGGGTGTCGCCAAAGCTTTGTGGAGGCAGCAAGGGATAGGGGGCTTGTATCGGGGCTGCGGTATTACCTGCGCTCGGTCTGCCCCCAGCTCAGCATTCATCTTCACTGTCTATGAGGGTCTACGGAATCATTTTGCCTGAATGTTCTGATACCCTAAGTATCTCCCGCTTTGTCCGACCGCGCATTCTCTTTCCCTTTTAGCCCCATTACGCCCTTCCTCTCATATTTTCCTCTATCTCCTTTGCCGATCCTTGATGATTTCTTTTCGTTCCAAAATTTTCCGGTTGGGGCGCTTCGTATGATACCTATAGCCATGTTAGAGTTAGATTCCAACTCTCTCTGAAAACATCAATCTGGTATTGGTGCAGATGAGAAAAAAACGGAGTTGATTTGTTTGTACCTTGTTGTCTAATTTTTCTTTCATGTTCATGACATTATTTTTCCCACTGTGTTAGTTTTTTCTTTGTTTATATGTCCGCCTCGGGACCGAAGAGGCATTTTACGGTTATTAGTGATGACATCATGGGTAAACTTGGGAGTCAGATGGGTACAGATACACATATCCAGAAAAGCACATAGATTAGATATTTGGGTGGATATTGAACGCCTGTTGATTGTGTTGATAAACTATCACCATTCTCCTGAGTCACTGAGGGGTAAAGGTATCAATGATGATAAGAGCGGGGTGCAAACCACGGACTTCCCCGGTCCAGATGACCTTACACTTCCGTATATCTACCAGCTAGCTACCTGTCCCATTTCCCGCTCTTCCTCACCCCTATCCAGCCATTTGTTGAAACATCATGGCATCTACCGCCGACCATCTCTCGGCCCAAGAGCTCGAGACCCTTTCCTCCAAGGCCATCTCTGCCAAGGCCACTGCATACTGTAAGTTCACAAACGCATCTGACACCTTTCGTTCCGAGCCAGTCCAGCGAATAGATCCAGCGTCTCTAAAATTAACTATTCGACAGGTCCTTACTCGAAGTTCCGTGTTGGCGCATGCATTCTGACCGAGTCAGGTGAATACGTCCAGGGCGCTAATATTGAAAATGCCTCTTATCCCGTTGGAACATGCGCCGAGAGAGTAGCATTTGGAAACGCCATTGTAAGCTGTCAACAGGAACAACAACATTAACAACGAATATCCCTCTCACTTTGTCCTCTGTACTCATCCCTTATGTCTCTCCCTCATTCCTCCCACCTTCGCCTCGGGATCCACCTCCTTCGCACCTGTCATCAGTCAGAAATTCACTCATCGGACTGCTATACAGGTGGCCGGGCACCGGAAATTCAAAGCCATTGCGGTTGCCTCGGATATCAAACCTGGTGCATCTCCATGTGGCATGTGTAGACAGTTGTACGTTCCCCTTCTTTGTTTTCCTTCTTTGGTTTCCCTTTTTGGTTTTCTTCTTCCACAAATATCTAAAAGAAAGATGACAAGTATCCAAAGTTAACTATTGGCTACCGAAAATAACGCATCTTACCCCCGTTGTTTTGGCTGGCTGACTTTTCTCGGGTATTCCTCCAGCATGAGTGAATTTACAACCCCAGCATTCCCCGTCTTTATGTACGACGGCGAAGGGGACTATATTCTTACCACTATGGGCGAGGTATTTATTCAACCCACTCTCTCAAATCCTCCTGCATGCATATATAGACTGACTTGTTCTTGTACAGCTTCTTCCTCACTCATTCGGCCCGGGAGATTTCTCCCGTTGAATAATGAATGGGCCACGTCTCTCTGGAGTGGGTCACAATCAGATACAATTAATTCTCGTACATTCAATCTCTTTCTCCCCCATTCTGGTGCTGTCAGGAACCCTTCCAGTGTCGTGTCAAATTCAGTTTCAGCGAGATGAGAGTTACCCAACATGCTCCTTTCTGTTGTTGGTTCAACTTGAAGTATACGATAGTTCTCCGAGGTGATGAATGTGTGTGTTTATAGGGCTGAGCGGGCGCGTTCACACGAGTCTTGCCCATGCTAGTGGTATGTTGGAAGTAGTCATTGGTAGGGCTCGGGGGCCAGATAAGGAATAGCGTTTCTCTTCATTCTTAGCACAATGCCTAGTCTATATGAGGCCCATGTGTATATTGTGTATTCAGGTTGTTGGCTTCGAGTGTCAGCATTCTGCATAACTAGATGACATACTCAGCAACTGGATTGGGTGGCCCGTATGCCAGCAAGGAATGTCTGATCAAGCGCCCAACACCAATACGATCGATCCTCTTGTTTACTGGCAGAAGGAGCGATAACGAATCACTTTGTTTGCTAACTTCCTCACACTTTCTCGGTGGTCGGAATCAGTTATCATTGGCCTTAGGCTTTTGTAACCCCCCGAGGATCCCCGACTCGACTCGAATTACTCTACTGCCCCTCACAGGCGTGTACTAGATAAGTTGGAACAAACAATCGATGCGGAACGCCAGCAGCGTATACATATAAGCAGATTCCAATACATAAATATTCTCGTGATATAACATAACCTCATAGGTGCGACATGAGAGTTCGCCGAAAAGGTGCGGAACGAGCTATAGCTCGTCTTCTTCGTCCGCCTCAAGGTCTTCAACACCAAGGAGCTCATCCTCGTCATCAACAACACCAGTATAGTCACCGCGTCGGGCGGCAAAAGATCCACGAGACGCATACGGCCTTGAGTAGCCCCTGTTATGTCCTAGACGCACATAGCCACTAGCGCTTCGCCAGAGACTTGCAACCAAGAGTGGAAGCGCCCTTGCGATGGCCACTGCACCCGCGATTATCGCAACTGGTACTGTGAGAAGCATAGAATCTCGCGATAGCATACCCTGGGAAGTGCCGACATTCTCTCCAAGACGAATTTGGCCAAACTTGCCGTCCCACCTGGTATAGACAACATAGCCGATGGCGCTAGCCACAGCAATCGGGGTGAAAATCGCGAAAAACAGACCAACGCCGCTCACACCATGCTTCTTCTTATACGCGTCCTCTTTGTTAGGACACGGTTGGGATTTGAGACGATCCAATTGATCTCCGCCCTCACAGGTTGATTGGGGGAGACGGCGATATCCTGTGGGCTCCCAATACTCGATTCTATCAGGGTCGTCCTTGCAAACAGCCATGGCGTCGGGAGGAGTAAGCCCTTGAACAAGACTACAGCTGCCATCATTCAAAGGTTCATAATTATAATCACTGCCCCAAGTCAGCCACTGTATCATTGCCAAATTTCAAAGACCTCTCAATCAAGGATGAGTGGTGAACAAAGAACACTCACCATTCATAATCAGCCCAAGTGCATGTGCAATTCTTCCCGATGCTGTGAACATGTGGTTCACGCCAGTTGTTCCAACATTGAGCTGAAGGCTTCTTGCGGTGGTATTGCTCCACATGGCCAAACAAGCATCCATTCTTCACAAACGGATGCTTCGGTTCCCAGATGTAATAGTCATGGCTCTCCGCTCTGCTCTCATCCAGTTTGCATGAGGTCGAACGGAGTCCACTGAAGTCAACACTGACAGTGGCGAGCTTGTCTCGATAGTCCGATTTCAACTCTTTGCCCCAGAGGAGAAAGCTCTTGGAAGTGTCAGACGGCACCGTGGAAATATCATCAATCTGCATTTCCACATCTGAAAAGACAAAGTCTATCCACGTGTTCCCCTCATCAAGGCTGTAGTATAGGGTTTGTGTTGGCCTAGACTCAGGCACAATTACAATCACGGACCCGGCATCACCAAACTCCCATATATATCTGCCCTTCTTGACAGACTTCCAGGTGAAACCAGCATCCTGAGTAATGAAGGTGTCTGCCTCCTCTTCCCCACCGAGATGGTCACCAACATTGCCAACCCCCATCATCAGACCGATTGCTGAACTGGAAGAGAATGTGTCCCGTTCATCTCTGCGTTCCGTATAGCCATGGAGGTGGAGCGAGCAGCCAGGAATGCCTTGCCCTTCTTTGACAGAACACCCGTAGTTCTTGCCATCTGCATCTTTAGTTGGAGGAGCAAGTAAGGTCCATCGCCCTCCGTCATTGTGAGTAATCATCGTCCTTAGCTTTTTCGTTTTCCCGCCCGACAGTTCATCCACGTTACTGACGACGTTTGCAACTGCCACACCTTCCATGCCCTGTATCTTTTCAAAATCAACATACCCCCGGTGGTTTCGGTTCACCGCACTGAGGCTGAGCACATAGGATGTGCCATTGCTGTTGCTTTTGATAATAGATCCGTACTCAGCTCCTTCCGCATTGCTTACGGTAACATGCAAGAAAACCGCATGCGTAGAACTTTCAAGCACAGTATAGGCCGTTTGAACGGGAACATTGACATTTGGAGGGAATTGTGCCTCTGCAAATGTCCTACCATCCACACTGCTGCTAGCCACCAAAGAGTCCGGCTTATCCGTATTTCGCGAAGCCACAACAATGAATTCGGACATTGTAGCATAGCTGATGACGTCCTCGAAATGAACATGCCAATCGGAGAACCAGTTCTCACTAGATATAAGTTGCAGCCGATTGTTCCTGTTCTCATTTTCAAATTGCTCGCAGAAGATGAGATTCACGCTATCTGTGCGGCTTTCCCTGCTTTCGAATTCACACTTTTGAACATAGCGACGAAGCAGTTCCCAATTCTCCCCACGGTTTTTACTGAGGTAGGCATTGGAGTGGCAGTCATTAGATCCACAGTCCACAGCCCCTGTCCAGATCAACCAGTCTTTGTACTGGGGATGAAATGAAAGGGTTGAGAGACGTTCCTGAGTTGGGGGCGCTGGTGCCTCGAAAGGCTTGAACGATTGGGCGCGATCGACTGTCCAAAAGCCTTCCATACCATCAGTCAGGAGAAAAGCGCCATCACTGTTGTGCGGGTGAGGAACAATTTTGCGGACGGTTTCGCCTTTCAGCGACTGCTCCCATGTTTTGCCATGATCATGCGATACATAAAATGCATGCTCACTGGTGAGCATGACAATAGTCTCATCGTTTCCAGAACTGCTTGACTGGCGTTCCAGGTAGTAGTAGGCAGTGAATTGTTTTGCATCGAAGAATTGTTTTACCACGCTGAGCTTGCCAGCTGTGGGCGCACTCCCTGCATCCTTGCAGGACCACTCGATATCATCGTCCAAATTCTTGCCGCCATCTCGGATACAGGTATCACCAGGTATCAGTCTCCAACCGGACGGCCCCATAAAGGTGTCAGTGGGCTTCTGGCATTTCCCTTCCGGAGGCATCGGCAAGACGGCTGGGGTACAGCTTTTTCCATCCTCGCTGTTCTTATGTTCACACTCGAAATCTTCGGCTGTACACTTGCATGGCTCCAGGATCGGCTGGGGATCCTTGAACTCTTCATCCACAAAACAGTCAGCATTCGCCTTCCTGCGACGGAAGAATTGCTTGTGGCCCATTAAGCAGTCGGGCTCGCCATTCTCATCTAGCCTGGCGGGCCACGTCTCGAAATCACCCTCTTCGCATTTCCGCTCGTGCAGACCCTTAAAATCGATGGCATAGACAACGTGGCCGCTGTCCTCGTTTCGCTTCCCAACAAGAATAAACCTCAGGCTAGTGGAGTCCGGAGTCGTTGTGACCATCGTAGGGTAGATCTTATGCTCAATCTCCACCGATTCCCATTCCTTGCCATGATCAAGGGAAAAACTAATCTTGTTAGATTTGCCGTTGTCACTAATTGCAACTACAACAGCCCCCTGGTCGCCGAATTCATATTTATGCGGCCCATCAAGAGCATGGCGCCAAGTGACTCCAGCGTCATCTGAAATATAGAGATCGCCATCAGTGTACTTTTTGAGATGGTCACCCGTATTGCCAACACCCATGACTAGGCCTGGTGCTGGGCTTGAAAATACCCGACCAATGTTGGCGAAGGTCGTGACCGAGTGTAGGTGCAGATTCTTGTCGTCAACCTTGAGAGGTTGGAAGCTCCTACCATCGTCGAAACTTATTCTACTGATGATCTTTTTTTCGGATCCGGATTTGACCTCTTTCGGGTTCTTCACGGTGTTGACCATAACTATGCCCTGGATGCCAGCAATCTTCTCGAAATCGACGGTGCCCTCCATATCGCGGTTGGTGTGCTCAATATTGCGGCTGAAGAAAGTACCGTTCGAATTGGAAGTAAAAAGAACGCCCATACTGCTAGATGGGCTGGTCAAGACGTCTACCTGCAAGCTGTAGTTGGTGCTCTCTAGCATCGTGTAGGCATCCTGCTCTACTCGATGCCCATCAAATTCGGCTCTATGCCAGGTGTCCGTGTCTGTCGTCACAAACAAAGCAAGTTCTTCGGTTCCCTTTGATTTGACTGCGGCCACAATGAACTTCTTGACTGCGGCTGTGCTGATCACACCAGAAACTGGTCGGCCCTCATGTAGGTTTGCCTCTGTGCCCTCGATGTTATTCACAAAGTAATCATCCGAGTATACCAAGCGGTTCGCATGTCCAAAGGGGACCTTCAAGCCCGGAACAACACACAATGTTCTGTCCTTCAGCCTTTCGGGCGAATCCAAGTCTTCGGCAAAGTCAGGATGCCCTACCGCCCAAGAGCATCCGGCAGCACTCTCTCGCAACAGCCTGAGCGTTTTAAAATCATCTGTCGTATAGTACGACCTCACGATGCAGAAAAGCCCGGCACATTCTTCGCTTTGGAATATGACTTTGCTCGAGTCCCATCCATGGAAAACGAGAGGAGCATGTTGTATGGCCGGGAAGTCACCGATATCAAATAATCTCCATGATTTTGCTTGGTCTGTGGTGACCAAGTGGCGTCCATTATTGCCAAGGGCGTAGGCCTTATTCTTGTCGAAGGGGTGTTGTCGTATGAACAGGACCTGGTGTTTCATGCTACCGTCTTCGCTCTCGACCACTTCCCATTCCTTGCCTCCATCAAATGACTGCAGAAAGTCCCCATTTCTCAGACTCGTGAGGACCGTTTCCGTATCCTCAAAATAGAACAGAGCAAGGGGTTCATGGTCAAACTGGGTTGCTGTGATGCTTGGTTGATCGTATTTCTTTGCGGCAATTTGATGGGGTATGAGAGCCAACAAGAGGCAGCTCACCAGCAGGAGCCATCGAAAGATCATGGTAGCAGAGTTTGGAACATTTGAAAATGTATAGTGAGGTATCGCGGCAAATGCAGCCAGAGTGGAGCTCGAACGGAGACAAATTGGACTGGAAAATCAAGTTAGACACTCTTTGCAAAGGAGCAGTTCGCGGTTGATGATGGATAAGCAGAATGTCACAATGATTGCGGTAGCTGCGTGGCCGCAGGGAAGCTCAACGGTCACGTGGACAGCATTGCTTATCGAAACACGTCTAGACCTCGGTTCGAGTCGTGCGAGGACGGGGGCCTTACGTAGTGTGACCCACGGATCCGAGTAGATCATGGCAAGGGGATTGAAAATTTATTTTCTGTGAGACTAGATACACCATAAATGGACAAGAAGGAAGTTACAATGAGAAGACAACGACATAAGTTCAAGTCATTTAAGCCCATAGTATCGCTTCCACCGGTGGTAAAATAATTACCTACGTATACAGCCTAACCTAGTCACTGTATCGGTCTCAGATGATGAGTATGCCTATACCAAGGATCTTACCAAAACTATACCAGGTTCACAGTAGCTTGCATAGCTGAGAGTCACAAAGTATTTGCCTCCTAATAGCAGTCAGAGGTCATGAGAAGTTGAGTCCTTGAGTTATAGGCAATATGGTGGGTTATTAAGTGGAAATTAGTGCCGCCCGATATTCCATGATTGAAAATCGAGAGCCGTCCAAGTACACTGCCACATGCGGGTTATCAAGGTTGAGTGAAGGCAGGGTTGAGTTATTCCACATACAGTCACAGACTACAACAGCGGATACAAATCATCAATAATGGTAAGCATAACAACTGAAGGCATAAAACGATACTGCTGCATTCCAAAACTCCGAATGGTACAAATCTTTAGCCATCAGTGAAATTGAGAGGCTATGCTGCCAATGTACTTGAATGAGACTTAAATAATGTAAATATCACGGTGCACGTGAGGAAAATGTTTAGGAATGTAACATGAAAAGGAACAGCGGAGTAGTAGTAAGTAGCAGTAGTAGTAGTACAGCTACTGTCAAAAAAAAAACCTTACACACAGAGAGAGAAAAAAAACCGTGGCAAATAAATATATATGTATGTATATTGTGTGTGTGTGTGTGTGTTAATGCTATAGGATACCATGAAAATGGAAGGTTAAAATGCGTGAGTTGTTCCAAAGTAATCGCATGACACATTGAAGCACACGTTTATGTCTTTTCAAATCCACAACTATTTCCATATCTGAAGCTTGTACCACACATCTTTTATCCTGCTTCGTTTTTCCTCATCCGAATCCCGGAGTTGAGAATCTATATCTGCTGACGGCGGTTTCGTGGCCTCGATGGCCCCAGGGGTATCTATAACAGGTGGAATGTCGATCCAGGAGTTTGTTCGAAGATCTGGCCGCGTCAACGTCATCTTCAGCGTCATTTCGCGCTTTCCTAGCTTTTGCTGCAAATCAACCTTGGGGTTGATGGTAGATGTCTGTTGTCCGTCATCAAGCGGGAGATCGTTGCACGAGACAGAGTGTCTCAATACGCAAGAAGCCTGTACGAGGCCTGAGATATGGTCTCTGCTTGTGCCGAGATTTGCATTTTGACCGACCTCCGAAGGCATTATTGTAGCCCTTCGGGACTTGGGATTGTGCTTTGGCGAGCTTTGTTGATCTAATGCGACATCTCTGACCCCTGGGGCTGGAAATCCAAGCTCAATTGCTTCGTCAAAGTTGTGAGGAGAAGCTAGATAAAGTCGCAGCTTAAGGCGCGCTTCCGGGTTCTGATAATACTGGGCACATGGATCAATACTGCCAGACGTTGACGGAGTGACATGATGGCTTTGTGTCTTGCTCGACAACGGTCGAGATCTGAGATCGCGGGTGAGAATATTGGCAAGGAAAGATGGCGTAGTGGGTGATTGGCTAGAATCACGGTGGCTCTTCTACGAAACGGCTAACGCCTGTGACCGAGTGAATCTGGCTGAATTCAAGGACAATGTTCTCCTGAAGTAAGACTTCTTCCGATATGGAGCTTTCGTTGTTGAGTCGGTGAAGTGCGTAGGCTTTTTGTCCAGGGCAAGATCAAGGTCATTATCTTCACCGAACCACCGCAAGATATCGCCAGGCAATCCATTCATGTTGCCACCACGCCACACTTAAAACAGGCAACAGATAGTGTTGACTTGGTAAACGAAGATATTTCAGAGGATCAGCGCTTCCAAGGTCTGATCCTCGGTTTAGCGGTGTCCGGAAATATGTTATGCTGGTTTTATACCGCAGAAGTACCTCTGAAGCCGTAACGGCATGGAATAGCTATGGCTTCTATCTGAGTCATGGGAATGTCAAAATCACTAGACTCTGTTTCCCTGGCTTCTTGTATTTCTAGAAGAGCCCCTATGAGCAACTAGTAATATTTGCGCCTTAGGGCCGCTATAGAGTAGAGTAATCTTGCCAGTCTAGGCTTGATGGCCGAAGCATTTGTAAACTAGTACGGATCACGCCGTGTACGGTGTGTGTGGAGTCGTGGACTGTGGAAGCACTGACCTAATCCAGATGGCTCTGAACTAGAAAGCAAACGAATTATTTGCTGTACCGGTATGATTCTAGGCAGCATCGAGCTTCGACTGGTTATTGCAATCATCAATTTGAGTGCCATAATCCAAAAAGAAACGCTGTACGGAGAATCTACAGGGCTCTCCAGAGACATAAAGAAAGAGAAATGCGCTAGTGCTTCAAACCCGGGCGAGCCTAGCTCAAGGGCACCCTTGATAATAGATAGTACTCCGTACAATGTAAGTAGTAGTATTTTGTCTCCAATAGTAGCTGGGTAGTGCACACAATAGTTGGAAATACTGAGTATGACTATTTGTAGATCAGGAGAACAGGCCACTCATGGGTAATTGCATCATGGGCACATCAAACTAGTCTATTACCGATCTTTGAGCGGAATTCGTGGAACTACATATAGCCCGTATAGGGAGTACAAGTGTTAGAAAAGTACACTACTAACTATACCATATATAGCATTAGATGTCCAGGGTGCATTATGCGCTGTACGCGCGGGAGTGGATACAGCCTGATTCCCCCTTTACAGTAGCACTTAGTCACTATGTAAAGAAAGGATGGTACATGCAGCTCAGACGGTGTGAACTGATTTGGGCTACCATCACATCATCTCTTCCATTAAACTTGCCCTTGTCTAGATAGTCATTGCCCCTTTTCCGGAGACAACACCAAGACCAAACAGCCATGGATGTATGACTAGGGTCATCGAGGTATCTCGAAACAATGTACTCTGTACCCCTTGAGTGCATACATGATCCCGATCACACATTACCCCTGACTGCATTGAGAATTAGCCACAAGCTTCACACAAAATAACTTCTATCACAAAATGTTAAGTACACTCTGTAAGGCAGCTGTGTTAGAATCTTCCCTCCGAGAAACATAAGCCCTAACATCTTGTACGCTAAGGCCGGTCTCAGTCTGGCCAGAACCCCCAAGGCTCTGCCCAGAGCTTGCTCCGGTATCATTTCCGGCTGTCCCGCTAGTACTATTACTTGCTGTACCACCGCGGATTCTCTCACGCAAAGCTTCAGAGCCAATAACAAAGAGGTTGCCAACTTCCAGCAGAACGTCCAGCGTACCGCTCGGTCCTTTGACCTGTTCTTCTATGTCCCAGGATTTGAGAAGATTTGTATATTGCGTCATATCCTTGGTGACCATAAGTCCGCCAGGCCCATTGACAACGAACCTTTTGAAGTGATCCAGAAGGAGACTGCGTGTTCCAATAACAATTTCTGTAAGCAGCTGGCGAAGATTGGAACCACTGGATGGCAATGATGTCTTCACAACATTATGCACACGGGTCAAAAATGTGCAGATCGAAGCACATGTCTAAATGTAATTAGCATGTCTCCGAACAATAATTAAGGATTCATGGTAATATGGCTCACTGGCGTTTGTAATCTTTCCAACCAAGCCGTGTTATCCCCCTCCTTAGGTCGAAAATCATTCTTTTTTTGGCCAGACAAAAGTTTGCCAATCCAAGTTAGTGTCGCGTCAATGACCTTCTGCTCTAGTGTATTGATTTTCTCTTCTACACGCATGGTAATAAGGTTGGTCTTCTTTTCCATTTCTCGACGTACCGTGATACTACCAGCGGCGAGAGGAATAAGCAAGGTGTTAATGCACATCACCATCAAATTCGCAATTCCAATGGCATTCCGAATACCTGGTAGGTATGCAAAGTCAGGTTCCAATCTGCCGGACTCTTGTGACGTTGCTGCTTCCAGAGCGGCATCCAAGGACACCTCAATGAACCCTTCACCCATCACTGAGAGAAGAAGACTCAACAGTGCAAGCATATCCTTGGGTGTTTCACTGTTCATGCTAAGCTCTAAACCCCTGCCAACTGCTTCGGCAAGCCACTTGAGCATTCGTTTTGCAGAAGATATGCTGGGAATGCCATCTTCTTCGGTAAGTTTTATGTCAGTAGGCTTCGTCAAGTCGCTAGATTCTCTCAGCCCTGCCACTTGAAGTAGCATTCGTCTTTGGGTTGGGGGAAATTCCGAAGACTCCAGACGACTTAGATATGCATCACGTGCTGAAGAGAGCATTTCAGTGCCAGACTTCGACAGAGATGCCATGAAGGTTGTCGCCGCTTTTTTCCTGCGGGCATGGAAGGTCGTGAATTTGAACAGCAAAGACGTATATAGCTCTTCCAGTGTCCTCTTTTCCCTCTCTATGTATGACGACCCAACAAAATACGGCACAAATAGATCCTCCAGCTGCTGGTCGAGGACTAGAGCTGTCTGCGAAGAGATTGGATCCGGGTGCTCGGTCAGCCCATGGCTTTTCAAATCATCAACTAGAGCACTGATATAACTGCGGGAGCTCTGCAGGGACCGCAAAAATGCGAGTGATGAGACGCTGTTCGCTTTCTCCAAGACCATTTCCAGTCTTTGTTGGATAGATTGTTGGAACACACGTTGTAAAAACTTCCCGAGCACCTGTTCATAGTACGGAAAAGCCCGCCTGATAATAGCCGATTCCTCTTGCACTACAACCTTGACTTCGTCGATCAGTGATTGAAGACTGGGTTCAACTTTCAGCGGTTCGGCATCAGGGTCTGCGAGCATTTCCCAGGTTTCCAAATCACCCCCTACTTCTTCTGTAACTAACTGGCTCCGATCAATGAAGAATTGGTGCTGATTGACAAACAAAGCGATGACGCTTGCACCACCGTTGAAATCCTGAAGTACATTTGCGCAGTCCTTCATACCTTCAAAGTTTGCCTTGCGGTAGAAGTCGTCAAATTGCTTCAAAAGGTCATTTTCCAAAGTCTCCGAGAACTTCTCAATAACCTCACGGGTATTTCGTCTAACGCCATTGCCTCTTGCATTTGCGTAGTCGTCTGCAGGTATGGTTCCATTCCCAGGGGACCCAGTATTTCTTATACTTGAATCATTCCAGCTCTCGGTATCAAGTCTCTGACTGATTCGTAGTAATTGCCGCGCAATCTGTGCAGATCGTACCTTAGCTTCACCTGTTCCGGATCTTCTTAAATTCTCCAGGAGCGTTATCTCGCCTCTATTGCTGACCCCATCCCAGCACTCGAGCAAAAAGCGGGCGTCAAGCGCCCGGCGTCTTTGACGATCTAACTCCTCTAATCTTTTTCCAGTCTCCACTGCCATATTTCCGGTGGCCCCGGTAAGTTCTGCACCGGGGAGTCCTGCTCCATTGAGCGATGTGTCGAGCTGCTGGAACGATTCGATGGTTTGTTTTAACTTTTTGCCCAATGTGTTAAGATTCTGGGAGTGCTGTGCCTCTGCCCTGCGGACTGCGGCCGATAATTCGTTTTCTTTAATTTCCAGGTCGCCGGAAATTTCGCCCAGTCGTCGTTGTGCGTGCTCTAGTGTCCGAATAAGTGGTTTGGGGTCAAACGGTTGGTTCCCAGTTGCGGGGTTGAGTGTAGAACGACGATTTGAAATGGCAGAATCAGAAAGCGCCTCAATAAACTCTTTGACGATGAAGTCGCGACTTGAGAAGTCCTCAAGGGTGAAGCTGGGGCCTTTCGGAAACACCGATCGAGACGCAGCGTTGGGTGGGGAGATCATGGACAAATCGTCCGGCATTTTTGGAGCTATAAGCTGGATTTATCTGCATTGATATCAGCATGGGGTGGCGGTCGATATGGGATTTGGCATAGAAGTGGCAGCTGGTGGTTTTGAATGCGCCTTGAAAGTGGACCAATAAACAGCACCATTTACGGGGTGAACTTTTGTATGAGTACTGCTACATAGGTGGTCCATATCGGAATGCGGATTCCTTCCACACCTGATTACCTAACCACATCACAGCATAACTTCGTGGTGATACAACTGTACCCACATACATAGTAGCTCAGTATTTGGCTATATGGTAGGTATTCTGTACTGTGTAGTACTACCCTAACTATGTAAGTTGTGTCTTGGATGATAGTAAATCTACCTACCATTTAACATAGTGCACATCGGCGTTGGAAACAATGCAGAGTAAGAATTCTAACTCCAAGATGTACTATGCATGTTCATGTATATCTATATTATGTATATCTATATAACCATGTGTACAAATAGAGTAGCCGCAGCATATTTTTAAGCCAAACCAACCCTTTCTATGCAACGGACTCTTGCGTACTATATAATGACATATCGGCTAATCCATCCCTCCACATGCCATTCCCTAGTATCCACTTTATAGCTGTGCGTGTCTGTAAGGAAACCTGGGTGGATAAAGCGGTCACTGGTTCAAGGTACGGACATACTTGCCACCGCCCATACAGGCCCGAATTCCGCTCGACCTGTTGAAGGACCCACCAACGGTTCAGACTCCCTCATACAGATCAAGCATAGTCAACCATTCGTTGAGCAGAAGTCCCTGAGTGGTACGCAGCCACAAAAGCTGAAACATGGTTTCACAACGAGATAAAGAGCTGTTTAGAGATGATGTTCGGTCTCGAGGAACGAAGCTCAGTGCTGCTGATCGCGAAAATCTTCTAAGGCCATATCTGCCAGACCCGTCTGACCTTCCACGGCGGCCAGCTCATCGCCGCAAGAAGGCTTCCCGAAGAACACCTATACGGACATTTGTCAAGTCACAGCTGCATCTACTTACCTATACCATTATTCATATCATTTTCGGGATTATTTCCCGACTCACCCTAAGCTATCATGCTGTTGTGGATCGAATCTTTGCCATCATTTATTACCACCACCGAACGCCAGAATTAATACGAAAAGATGTGAAGAACTTAAAGCGCTTGCCAGAACATTTGAGTGTCATATTGTCATTGCGCAAAGAAGACGATGCCCTGGCTATCTTGATGGATGAAGTAGCAGAGCTCGCAGCCTGGAGCGTGAGTTCCGGGATACCTGTCCTAAGTGTCTATGAAAAGACCGGTAAGTACAGTTTCGAGGCCTCCAAGGCATTCCATAGAGTTGAGGGGTGAAAGGGCGCTTATAGAACTGGGACTAATCACCAAGTGTCCATTCGTACAGGTGTTCTGAAATCCTGCATTCCTGTCCTTTACCAAGCCATTATGAACAAATTGTCCTCTTACTATGGTTCTCCGGCGCAGCAACCAGTATTGCGACTGTTTGCTCCCCACCACCCGATTTATAACCTGCAGCAAGGCGTGGCGCCTTCTCATAGGCCCAATGCCAACCCTCTCACAATGCTTCTCTTGTCTGCTACTGATGGCCGGGAAACGTTTGTTGACTTAACCAAGACGTTGGCGGAGATGTCGCAGAGTGGTAAACTCTCACCAGAAGACATAACTATGGAATTGGTTGATGCGGAAATCAGCGAGATTACTACCCAGCCCACTCAAACGGCCACGTCCGTCCCTCTGGGTAGAACAGCAATGGATACTGGTCACAATGTCTCCATAGTGAAGCCTGAGCCTGATCTTCTTCTGGTTTTTGGCCCGTTCTTGAAGTTGGATGGATACCCACCCTGGCATATCCGACTTACCGAGATGTTCTGTACTGGCGGTAGGAGTAGCGGGATGACCAATTGCGACGAAGCTGTTGAATATCACGGCTTTCTCAGGGGTCTCTGGCATTATGCTGGTGCTCAGATGAGGTTCGGCCGATGAAGATGGTCTGTCCTGTGTGTATGTATGTTTTAAACATGTTCTTGTCAGTGTACGCCAATTTTCATTCGAAGATGGTCCATGGATGCAGAATTCAAAAGAAAAACAGATGGCGCCAGCTTCATCAACCAGTGTAGTATGCTGCTTCACTCGACGATCGGTCATATATTAAGACCCATCTAGACTGAGTGGAGTCTGAGAGGAAAATCATACCGACATACGAAGGTTAACTGTCTCTGTGGTAGCTATGGTTTACACGCAACGCATTTTCTATAGTGAGCTTGGTGACTGGGCATCTGCTTTCATCAATCATCTCATTGAAGATGTGGTCGAAGTGCGAGAGGTATTTCCTAGATATGCTTGATTACTTGCGAGTAAATCAAACCAAGCATTAAGCTTTCTAGTTTGTAGAGATACATGTTAAGTAAGGCCTCGATGTGGAGATTTACTGTGTACCAGGGACCACAATAGCCCCCCCCCCCCCCCCCCCCTTCCCCCCGTCCTAACCCCATGTTTCCATCACTCCCTTATTGTCCATGTAAGGCTAGTTTCAAGGCCACCGTATCTCTCCTAGTCCGGATGAACTGCCTGAAATTGGGGTTGGAAGCCTCGCACACATTCAAGGCACCTTGCCACTTCCATGCCCGCTTCGGTCACACCTTCAACCGCACAGGCCGAACAAACCTTCCGAGCCCGCTGGGTCTGCATTCCGTCGCTGTTGGCACTCTCTTGAAAGTTGAATGTAGGCATTTTAACTAGCCCGCTGCAATCTATAGCGTCGCAATACCGGAGACATATATGGCAGCTTCTCTGACCACATAAATCACAGTCTGCATAGGCGTCGATGAACTCTCGTGTAGTAGGTTTCCTGTGACAGATATGGCACGAACGTAGACAGAACGCAGATGCACAGAGGGTTTGCGGTTGCTGGTAGGGATTTGGAGATGTGGTTCTAGGGGATACTGGCGGGGAGTTGACCTCCAAGGCCGCGGAAACATAGATGTTTTGTGAAGAAATCTTAGTCTGGGACGAGTTTGACTGTAGCGTATGGGAAAGATTCTCTGTAAATGGCGATCTGCGGTGAGTATGTGGTTGCTGGACTCGTCGTTTCCTGTGTAGACATCGCTGGCGAGTAAAAACCCCTCTGCTCTGACCAGAGAGTTCTGGGTAGTCTAAGCGGAATTGTGGGTTCGTATACTGAATGGACGAAGGGACAAGTCTGAGTATCAAAAAGATGGATTAGCTACTTGCTGCTAAAGGCTAGCCATTTTGTCCATCGGTTGCTGACCTATCTGACGATGTGGAGACAATATCTGCTTGGACTTGTTCCCTCTTCCGTTTTCTTATACTTGGACTTGTGACAAAGGAACCACGTTGATCAATAGGAAGATGTGGCATGAGGTCTTCAACTGTATTCGTTGAATAGTATCCAGGCAGATTCATCGGCGGATAGGGATAAAAAGTAATTCAAGCACGTACATTAAGCGGTCGTAAGAAACCTAGGTACCAGTGTATATTGAATTGGACTATATGTTTAGGAAGATGAATCCCCTCAGGCCTAGAGGGAGAGTGTGTAGTAAGTAAGATGACTGGACGAATGAGGATGCATTTGGTCCGTTGAAACACCTTTTGTGGGCATAAACTGGGCGAGTGCGTGGCATTAAAACATGTTAGTAGACAAACAATGACCTCAGTATCTAGACCAACGGGCGTTTAGCCATAACTGATAATTTCTAGGTTCATTTGCACAATCGACCTTTGATCCCACTATGTAAGTTTCGTGTATCGATCATCTAGACAGATCTAACCAATGGCGTAAGTCGCAGAAAGTGATAGGGAATAAATACCTGGGTGTAATGTGACAGTTAGTACAGCGCCTACATCGTAATGCCTCATCATATATAACTGGTTTGTGCATCTACTCCGCCGTGTCTATCTAAGTACTCAACTGTCATTTGACTCAGGTAGTATACGAATCAGTACCTCTACATATTCGAATATATTATACTAGATTCATGTTAACCAACAACTGCATAAAATCTGTAGTCAAAAGAGCAAGCAAAATCTCGCCCCTTCGGACTTGTGAGGCCTCTTATAGAAAGCAAAGCTATATAAATAGATAAAATTGAAACATGGCAACATGTCTCGGTGGCGCAATTGGTAAGCATTCACTTTTCGACCTTCATAATCGAACATCTTATTAATTCTCAACAGGTTAGCGCGTACGACTGTTAATCGTGAGGTTGAGAGTTCGATCCTCTCCCGGGACGCTTTTTTTAGCCAAAATCGCTCGCTCTCTTCTCTCACCACAATCTACTTTCATTTAAGCATTTTATAAATATAGAGACTTTGTTGCTGAAAGAATGACCTCACTCCTCCCTCTTTTCCGGGACTACAGTCATCACCCAAATGACTAGCTGTATACAATCCAATATCCTTAACTACCTAATCAGGAGCTGATACCCTCTTAAGTCTATCGACTCAGACGGACGATCTCAATCGAGTATTGCATTTTTATGTGGTTGGAAGGGCCCTCTTAGACATGCTTAAAGGGGCCCTCTGGGGCCGTTTAAAATTTAATAGGCCGTTTGGGAAGACCCGAGCCCTTTAGATAGGTAGGTGCTTAATAGGGGGCGTTTAACAGAATCTCTGAAACATACCTGGCGGGACCCTCTGGGGGCTTTTAAGAGGCCCTTTGGGAGGCCTTTGACTATCTAAATACTTTGAAAATGGGGTACAAGATATTGAGTACCCCTGGAATAGTGGACCAGTTGATCTACTTAATTGGTGACTAGCAGGTAATGTAGCGCATGTCTAATATCGATATCCTATCGGCGGTTACCCCTGTAATGACCCAGAAAATACTAAGTAAAACTTTCGTATGCTAATAGAAATATTTCCATTCAATACGCGGGTTGAATATCAACCACTAATTTGTCGAGAGCCCAAAATCACGATCTGCTTTGGCCAATGGGAGCATTGAGAGATATTGAATCCTACTAGGGACCTAGTACTACGTAGTATCTATCTAGGTCTTACCTAGATACTACTAGATTAGCTACATCCTGAAGTCCATTAATGGGCTAACACTTGCCCATTTTCGATTTAGTCTAAGTGCGGAGAACCGTAACTGCGACTTCTTGGCAACCCACCCTCCCTTATTCTCGCTCAGCCGGTACTCCGTAGATGATGTTGATTTCTCTGAGCCTCGAACTCCAAAGTTCTTCCAGGGCCATGTCATTCGCATCTTGCTGCTTGTATCAGCTTCGGTCATAGAACGGGTACGGCTACTGAATAGCTGGCATACCCTCCTCCCTTAACAACAGTCCGTGCTCCAATTCCGACCGGAGTACGACACTACCTCCTGCCATGGAAACCAGCGTTTCTGAGCTAGTTGAGAGGCTAGGAAGCGATGAAGATGCGGTGCGCAAGATGGCTGTTTTCAAGCTTCAGGGAAGCATTGGAGATCCTTCATTCGCCGATATCTTCATTGCGGAAGGGGGACTGGCCAAGTTACGCTACCTGACCATACATGCAAGCGGTAACACCTTGGCATATAGCCTCACCAGCTTCGCAAGATTACTAGAAGTTGACAAAGGCTGGGATCTAGTAGATCAGGAAGTGGTTGAAAGAGTAGGTATTATTCTCAGGCTCTCTGCCTTCTCCATAACATACATCAACCTGATCATATTGTATAAAAATATACTAATGTATTGTACTGTCTTCTCTGTCCAGGTTGTTGAACTTATAGTGACGCACCCATTGGTCAATATTCTGAGGGGTGCAATGTCCATCTTAGTCTCTACTGTGTCACATCCCTACACAGGTAATCACTTATCACAGGATGGGAATTTCGGCTTTCGTGCATTGAAGCCTGCAATTGCCATATACCCGCAATTCCTGGAAATGCTTGTCAATAGACTTTCATCTGCAGATCATGCACTTTGTGCCAATGCACTCCAGTTGATTAACTCTCTGATGCGTGACTCCATCACGAATGAGTTAGATACAGAGTGGCCAAAGTTCATACAGAAGCTGCAGGATCTGGGTGTGATCAGAGCAGTCTACTCCCTCATGCAAGGTACTGCCTTGCAGGATCACATGCACCCGTTGATAGAATTCCAGTCTCTCACCAAAGTTCTCATCAAAAAATGGAAAGAGATATCGCTAGACTCAGAAAGGCCAGAGCATAGGAGGGCTCTGAAAGGAATTTACTTGGCTAGTTCACACGAACGCAGCCAGGACAAGGGAGTCGAGAATAGCGACGATGTACGACATACAAAAAGACACAATCCAGAAAAATGGAGGCGTCTTGGTTTTGAAACGGAAAGCCCGTCGACGCAATTTGAGGATACAGGTTTCTTGGGGATGATGGATTTGGCAGATTATGTCAGAAATCATCAAGATGAATTCCAGAAAATGCTTCTGGAACAGTCCACGAAACCTACACAGCAGCGATGCCCCATCGCCCGTGCTTCGCTATCTGTCACTTTGATTCTGTATCAGCATTTTGAGGTGGACAAGTCGGAGATGGATGATGCTAAAGGCTATCTCCTACTAGAGTCTCGCTCTAATCTCGATATGCTTTTTGAGCCTCTACTGTTGCATTGGACCAGATTGCATGTTGCAGGATTGCATGCGTTCTTTCGTCTATGGAAGGCTACGGGAGCGGAGGTTGAAGATTACGGAAAGCTTGTTGAGCTTGTTCGCATCTTGATTGAATCTGTTGTTGGCGGAGCACCTCGCACAAAGGATGTGCAAGAAGTGGAAGAAGAACTGGCAAACTTTGAATACGGCCGGCTCCGCGAATTACAAATGGAGCTATTGGAGCTCACGTATGAAGATGCCTGGGGTCAGCATTTGCGACAAATGCGTGAAGAACTGTACCATGAAGCCCTTCAGTTCGTTAAAGAACAGAGAATTCGCTGTTTGTTGCAGGGTGCATGGTTCCCTAACGAGAGTCCGCATAGTTCAGAGGCAGTGAACGAAAAATTCTCATGGAGATACACTCAACTTTCGCACAATAGGAGGTTCCTACACTTTGGTGATTTCAGTGCCGTCGAAGAAAACTGCCCGGAACTTGACGCCCTACCGGAGAAGAGTAAGTTTGGTCCATCCTATTAGCCTCGAATGTGGATTGTTTCATCCTTGAATGTTGAACTGACTGCCCTTCTCCTTGTCAGTCGACCTTTCATTGGTGTCTTCAGTAGTGTCAAATGTCGGTGCTTCATCCAAGGATCACACGGTCTCGAGTGCAAAAGACATGGCCCACGCTATTTCATTTACGAAAATTACTGTCCACGGATACCCATCACCTGCGCCCACTAATGGGGATACGCGGAAAAATAATGGTCATCGTCGAACCTCGAGCAAATCTGCGCATGGGGAATCTGTGTTGCTGAGTCTTTGTCCACCGTCCCCTAGCGTTGCGTCTGAATGGCTTGATGGGTTGCTGATGCTTCTCAATCAACAGCCCATAACGGCAGAGACGAACAAGCTTCTGGATTCAGTCAGCAACTACGGACTCAAGATCCGCTTGTTGAATGTTCGATTCGATGATGTGGCATTCGCAGGCGATGCCCCACAGGTTCCTTCCCGAGATGGCCTTGATGACAATTACTACTATGATGTTTTTGGTGGCTCATAGTAACAGTTTTGTCGTCAGATTGGTTAAATCATACAATATGTCAAAGGTACGATATAATTAAGAGGTTCTTCAAATGATGATAACACGGCAAATTTGAGCATGGCGCATTGGGGATCATTGGCGCAGAGAATATTGGCTTGGTTGGAATCTCTAGTCTCCTGGGAGATCCAACTGTCAATATAACTCACCTATGATTAATGACACATATTGAATAGACTTATATAGTATGTCAAATAGTTCGGAAGTTATTCGTGTAGTTTTCCTCCATCTTCCTCGTTGTGCTTCCTGTACTTTCACCTGTTTGATTGTCCCAGTTCTACTCTGTATTTAATTTTTCTACTCTGTATTTAATTTTGATACCTTGGAGAGGAACAACACCTTTGAGACCGGTATCCTATGTTTCATTGGCAAATCTGTCAGGCACTCTATATGGCTGGGGAAGTAGTAGTAGTGGTAGTGGTAGTGGTAGTGTCCTAGTAGTATGGCTGAAATCAGTGGGGGGTTAGCTTGACCAATAACAAAAGTAGTATACTCATTACGCTGTCAACCCATCCGCTACGGCTCTACAAACCCCTCAGCTCAATAAATCAGTCACATGTGATCCCCATATAAAATCTAATAAGTCAATTAATACAAGTGCTGTAGTCTGATTTTAATATTGATCTTATATTCATATTATTTAATAGCAAATTTGTAAGATTTTATAAGAATTATATCATATTATAAAAACACTTTATTTCATGCTTCATTTATAGACTAGTTTTTAATTTTACGTTAATATAAATTATAATTCAGGATTTAATTTCAAACATATCATAGTTGTGATAGGATCTACTTGTCAGGGTAGAAAGCTTGTTGACTAGGCAAGGATTACACTCCAAAACAGTATGGATTGAAAAATGTAGCCTATATCCACTGAATAGACTAATCCTTGAAGGATTAGGAAGAGGGGTTCACTACACTCACTATTTGATAGAGAACGGAACGCCATGGTATACGCAACAATAATCTCAAAACTCTCACTGTCCCATCCGGGTACCGCAATCACCATCGGCTGGCGCTGATGAGGTAAGGATCGCCATCCGAACCCGTTCTATCACAATAACAATAGTATTTGGAAATTTTAGATTCTAACTATATTCTTATATCAGAATTTCAAAGCTCTGGACTAAAATGGTTGAGTTATCAAAGATTCTCTGAAAATACTTTTCATATGGTTATCACATACAGAAGTGACTGATTCATTGAGCTGAGGGTATTTGTAGAGCCGTAGCTGAGGCTGGCCCACCCCTTTGGCATGGGTCTAGGCGTAGCGACGAGTGTGACGGCGGCTACTAGGTAGGAGCAAGCTTATAAGGGATGCGCAGCTGAGCCTAGTGGCTCAGTATCCTAGTCTTTTGCCGAATAGTGCAGTTGGCAGGAGGTCGAGTCTTTGGAAGCGCACCTAGAGGCAGGCCTTGACAACGAATAGAACATACAGAGCTCCGGACTGTGTAGGCGGTAAGAACTGGAGCTTGACACCAAAGCCGTAGTTGGGTCTAAGCCAATTCTTGTCCAGACATGCCAGCGTTATCAATGAGTTTCTTTTAATGACTGTTGTATTTCGTCGATATATTTACACGATCATGAAATGTCCGTGCATCAGTAAAGCCACTGCAATTTGCTAAATGCTCATGAAATCGGGGAGCAGAACGCTTGGTCCAGAACAAGGCGCTGCTAATCCTACCGTCCACCTGAGCCTACTTAAAGGCTTACCGTCATCGCTAAGCTCTTCTGCCTTCCGAATTATCTAAGATCTTGCAAAAGATGAAACGCAAACACCAGGAAGATGCTACAACAACACACAAGCCCGTGTACGGCACCTCTGGCCTCAAGAACACCGAACAGCAGTTGTTTAATCGAACTACCGATAATCAACAGGATACGGAAATAGGAGATGGGAAATATAGCAGCGATGATTTGATTGAAGATGATTATGACTCATTTGACGAAATATTCATTCGCCATATCGCGAATGACAGAGATACATGGCATGATGATAGGCAAGATTATACACCGAGAAGCTGGCTTTCTAAAGGGCCACCACCTCGCTTGCCATGGGCGCAGCAGTTTCCTCCAACTAATTTAGACGAACTGGCTGTCCACAAGAGAAAGGTCTCGGATGTGAAGAACTGGCTAATCAGTGCATTTGCTAGGAGAGACCGACAGGTATGTTATTCTTGATATTCTCAAAGCTGTCTTTGTTCTGTACCGATCCAACATAGGAGCTCCTAGCGCCTTTTATTGCTACGCAGGCCTTTTCTTTACTAACAAAAGCAAAGCTACTTGTTCTTCGTGGTCCTGCAGGAAGCGCCAAAACAACTACACTCTCATTATTATCGACTGTTCTAGGCTTTGATATCTTGGAATGGAGGAATCCCTCACCGTCAGAGTCTGCCACCAAAGCACAAGTATCAATTGCTGCTCGTTTCGATGATTTCCTGGAGCGTGGAAACGAGTTTCAGGGTCTCGACCTAGATGGGGGGACTGGCTCTTCCGGAGCTAGGTACACTTATAGCAATGCCTACACTTCACGGCGACGTGTTATTCTCATTGAAGAATTCCCAGCGCTTGCAGGTCCATCGTCGAGTTTGAATTCCTTCAGGCTAACCCTCTTGCGGTATCTTGCCATGATAACGCAAGAAAAACCCCACCTTGAGCCCGACACCCTACAAGGCTCTCCAATTGTCATCATTGTCTCAGAGACGCTTCTTGACTCTAGGTCTTTCCCGTCAGATAACTTAACAGCCCACCGGTTGCTAGGCCCGGAACTTTATAACCATCCGAGGACGAGCATTATTGATTTCAATAGCATAGCGCCGACTATTATGTATAAGGCTCTGAATTTGGTTTTGGAAAAGGAGGCTTCTCTTTCCAAGCATGAGAGATTCCCAAGCTCCGCCATACTGCACAACATCTCTAAGACGGGGGACATTCGAAGTGCCATTGCATCCTTGGAATTTGTTTGCGTGAATCATGAAAGGTTCAAGAAGTTGGCAGGCCCGCCTTCCAAAGCCGGGGTCTCGAAAAGAGCTACAGCAACTCTTACGCCTCTTGAAAGAGATACAATGGAGGCAATAACACAGAGAGAAACGAGTCTTGGGCTGTTTCATGCTATTGGGAAGGTCGTATATAACAAACGTGTCGATCCAGGCTCAACTGGAGGTACTCAGGTCGTCTCACCCCCAGGGCACTTAAAACATCATGAACGGCCACAATTGTCCCAAGTATGTGTCAATGAACTTGTGGATGAGGCCGGCATCGATAACCAAACCTTCATTAGCGCTCTTCATGAAAATTATGTCCCATCATGCAACAGTCTATCGTTCACAGACTGCCTGGATGGCTGCATTGGCGCATTATCAGACAGCGACGTGCTGTCTTCCGACACAAGAGGACGAAGCAGGTTTGGAGGACAAGGTTTGGGTAGATCTAATGCCGGAGCAGACTCCTTGCGTCAAGAAGACCTCAGCTATCAAGTCGCTACTCGAGGTATACTGTTTGGCCTTCCATACCCCGTGAAGAGATCAATGTCAGCCAAAGCATGCCCAAGCCATACAAAAAGCGCATATAAAATGTTCTTTCCGGCTTCATTGCGACTGCTTCGCAATATGGAAGAGATACAAGACCTTATAGATTTATGGTCAAACAGACTACTGGACCCATTCGGGAAGTCTATCTCAGGCACCATGGCCAGTGTTGGGGTTTTTTTGGCTGAGAAGAGTGATAGAGCCGAGAAGGCCGCTGGCCTAGGTAGTCGCGGCAGTGAATCAACTGCGGCTGTTACCATGATATCACGCAGTGATCTCATACTTCATCAACTGCCATATTTGGCTATATTAGGGGGCAACCCAGGGCATTTGAAAGAACTCGTGAAGATCACCGGGCTCCGTGGAAACAAGTTCCAAAGCATTGCCCCGGACAACGAGATATTTGACAAGTCAGTTGAATTGCCTTCAGTGGCATCCAATATTCGGCGAAGGAACTCTCCGTTAGAAACCCCATCACGAATAAGTCGGCGCAACAGCAATGCCTTTGGACCCCGGCTTCCTCCATCTCTTGAAGAGGAGGGGCTTATTCTGCTCGACGATGATATTGTAGATGACTACTGACGAAGACGAGTGGTCTTTCTTCGCAGTTCTTAATTTACTCGAGACATAATGGCTGCAGGATTCCGTCTGCATCTACTCCTGCTGTCTAATTCTAGCATAGCAAAAGAGATAACGGTTTGGCAGATGGGAACCGGAGTGAAGGGTTTGAATTCAGAACGTTCTGATGGGATTGACCGAGAGAAAGAAAGGAGGGGAACCTTTAAGATGATATGGAGTACGGAGTAGTTAACAGCTGTGGCATCATGACAAAGTTACGAGGCCAAGAACTAGACAGGTCGTAGGATATTCTCGGAGAAGGAACCAAACCGCAGTTTTGACTAAGCAGGTTTCTTGGGATTCTACACATTTACCGAAGCCACACCTCAACCTGACTAGTCAGTAGTCACACTCTCGCTCTAGTTCTGTCCTTTTTTTGCAAGTTCCTAGGCCTCGGAATCTTTCATCTCTTACAAGGTGACCATCGAATGTCTGTCCCAAGGGAGATGGTCCAGGAACGCAACTCCATCCTCACGCAAAGGAATAAATCGGGGACCAATTTCAAGCTTGAAATTACGCCAATCTCAGTTGATGGAACGCGCGATGTTGATTCTCAAAAGACCCCGAACCAGTTAACGAGCAATGATAAGGAGATTGGTCCTACAAAAGCCACATATGGACAGTTGGCCAGCATCACAAGTGCTGCCACTTATACAGCACTGCCCGGATGGACAAATATAATTCTGATGTTTTCTTTGATCTTTGGTGGTTGCTGTGCTAATGTAAGTACGGATTAAAGTATACTAAGATTCGATTGCTGATTCCAGACAACAGGTGTTTGCGCTCGAAGCAATTATCAAGTGAGTTGAATGGAGTGTACAAGTACTGATCCGAGGCTGACCTCAGTTCAGAGATCAGCCAAGCTCCGGTATTTAATTTCCACCAAGCCAGCATTATCATCTTCTCTAACGTCTCTACTAAAAGGTCCCTTGATAACATTCGCTCAATTCCTTCTAACCTCACTCATTACGATCCCCGGCTTTCTCTCTTTGTCAGCTGGACCTCGATCACTATATCTCAGCCCCCGTGCCATTCCACTAAGATCATGGCTGGTCTACACGTTGTTTTTTGTTACAGTCAACCTTCTCAACAATTGGGCTTTCGCATACAAGATTTCTGTTCCGTTACACATTATTCTCAGATCTGGAGGCCCCGTAGCTTCTATGGGTATTGGCTTTCTATTCAATGCCAAGAGATACTCGCGAGGTCAGGTACTTGCAGTACTGATGCTAACCCTGGGTGTTGCCACTGCAGCATTGGCGGACGCTAAGGCTAAAGGCCAATCTATGAATGTCGAGAACGCTTCTGCGGCTACCACTTTAGTTGGATTCACGATTCTCGCCTTGGCGATGATACTCTCAGCTTTCCAAGGCATCTATGCCGACAGGCTCTACGAAACGTATGGGAGGGACCACTGGAAAGAGGCTCTGTTCTATTCCCACACGCTATCTTTGCCGCTTTTCTTGCCCGCTTATACGCAGCTCGTGAGCCAATGGCAACTGCTATTCCCTGCGCATCCCCTCACTGCCAGGCTCCAAGCTCTGAATTCGAGTGAAATTGGTCTTTTGGGCCACGCATCTCCCGGCGTTGCAAGTAACAGTGCCTCGGAAGAGTCCTGCGAGGCATGGTCGTTGGCGTCAATCATTAGCGGTTCATCTGGGCTGTTGCCGATCCTGAAGGATATTCTCCCTTTAGGGTCAATTTTCACAATCATCCCGATACGTGTGACTTACCTTTTGGTCAATGCTTTGACACAGTATTTGTGCATTAGGGGTGTTCATCTCCTCTCTGCGAAGTCATCCTCACTAACTGTTACTGTCATTCTAAATATTCGGAAGCTCGTTTCCCTTCTTCTTTCCATTTACCTGTTTGGAAACGATCTCTCTCCGGGCGTCCTTATCGGCGCAGTGTTCGTTTTCATAGGCGGTGCTATGTATGGTTTTGGGGCACGGTCTAGGGTCAAGTCTGCCAAAAGCGCATAAGCTATAATAATCCATACATCTCACAAATTTGTCATCCATTCTCAAAAAAATCATACAGCAGAAGTGTTGGAGCTGGAGACAGGCATACATGTGAGGTAGCTTTTGAAATTTCACCAATTTTGCTCTTGCACAATCTATCACTGGTGTTACCTTCGCTCCTAGAACCTGAGGCCAATGGCTCTTTCACTTATAAATTAAACATCATTGCCTTATAGTTCACACGAAGCTACTGTGTATTACTGCGGCTCATGTAGTAAGCCAAACTCTAGTGTATAATTACAAAAAAAAGCAGCATCAGGATCCTCCCAACGTTATCAGAACCAAAGGCCGAACTTTGATGTCTTATGAGAACATAATCCGGACGAGACCCCTTCCTGTCAGCTCCAATACACGAAACTTACAGTACTTCGCCAACAATCTTCGCTGCTTCCTTGTATGTGTCTAGCAGTCTTTCACACTTCTCTCTCTCCGCCTTGATGCCATCATCCTCATAAAGAAGCTCCGCGAAAAGGTCTTCTTTATAAAGCTCGCTCACAAGCCTATTTTGCACAACATCTTTGCTGTGATTGACAAGGAGATGCATGATAGCCTTAGGAACTTGATCAGCAATAGTTTCCCTCACAATATTAAAGTAAGAGGAGATTAGCCGACTAATCAACTCTGTCTCCACCATTTCACGGTCAGAGAGAACCGCCTCAGAATCTTCCTTGGGCTACAATAACAGGTCAGTATGTTGTTTCCGTCCAGCACAACTGAATGAAGGGGAAATAAACTTACAGCGACACCGACGTCGCCACTATATTCTACAGGAGCCACGTACTCCTCAGCTGGTAGGGCAGTAGAACGCATATCCGTTCTGCGAATCCCGTGGCTGATGTTTGCTTCGTTGAGGTTGGTGTATTGACGGTTCTGGCTCGAGAGCTGAGGCAATGAATTGGCAGGTTGTGGGCCGTCCTTGCCAAAAAAGTAGTTGAGAAACGAATCGCGCGTGGTGTTGGTGGTCCCAAAAGCCGCTTGAGAATTTGCATGCGCACCATTTAGTGTTGCCGTCACGCCACCTTCTTGTCCTTTACCAAACTGAGGGGACATGCTCCTGGTACCCTTTGCAGGTTGACTCCTGACAGGGATATTCTGTGCCCTTGATTCCGACTGCTGTTCGTCTTCATCTTCGGGGGACGCAGTTGAATTTCCATTCAATCCTCCAAGCTCTTTCAGCCGTCTCTTCTCCCGCTTTCTTCGGTCATCGGCTAATACCGCCCGTCTTTCCTGTTCCTGTTTGTTCTGAATGACGGATGACATGGCCGCTGCTGCGCCCAGGAAATTTGGATGGTTTGTATTGATATAGGCTCTTTGTATGGAGATGAGTGACTCAACGTACGCTGAGCAGGGCCCGAGACGCTCACGAAGGAGATCGGAAACCACCTCTATCAGTTTTGCCTGGAGCCGTGGGAAGCGGAGAAGTTCCTGTGAACCACACGTATGGCAAATCTTTATGAGCTCTTCATAGACTAGTTCAACACACCTCTGACTAGGAGCCTCTAGCATTTTTATCTGGGGCTTAACAAGTAGGTCAAAGGCTAGTTCTGGAACGAAAAGGCTTGGACGAGGGCCAGTCGAGTTCCGGATAGCGGTCCTAATATCCGTGACAGTCAAGTTATGTGTCGGATCAATCGTTTCGAGAGAATTGCCGAAAACGGAGTTAAAGATATAATATATTCTCGCCCCTCCACAGAGCTCTTTGGTCGATATTTCAGAAGATGTTCCGTCAATGGAAGATATGAAAGAAGAAGCAAAGCGCGTCATAAGTTGCAGAATCAAAGATCCACGGTGCTCTTTCCCACTGAACTGTTTGTTGCCATAACTTGCAAGTTCTTGCTGTGTTTGACCCATGAGTGTATTGAGGCGCGCTTTGATGTCGGGTAGCCGATCTCGGATATGGGACATCAAGGTTGTATTCAGTGTCTTCGCGAGGAACTGCGTACCACACCGATTTGCCATATTCCGATAGGCCGGATGATGTCTGAAGAAATCGACTTCAGCATGAAGAGCATCGGATAAGGCCTTTCCCGACTGAATATCTTGTTGTGATCGATTGACAACACCAATAAACCCCAGCTTCAGAGGATAGACACGTCCGGAAAGGATATCCATAGCATTTGTGCCATGATCCATGAGGTCGAGCTTGGTCAAAACTCCAATCGTTCTTCGGCCCATGGCGTCCACTTGACGAGCAAGCTTCAGCGCTTCGGAATTGACAAGATCAACATTGGCAGGAGAAACTGCTAAGATGATACTGTTCGGCTTCGCTATATATTCAAGTATCAGGGCCCGAGTTTGCTTTTCGATATCAGACGGTTGGTCCCCAATAGGCACTTTTGTCAACCCTGGCAAGTCAACCATCGTAAGATTGAGTACATGGGGTGAGAATATTTTGAGATTGATGGGTTGTCTGTTGATTCCTTTATTGCTTCCGGCTATCCTTGCAGTTTCCGCTTCAATCTCCTGCTTAACCTGAGCAAAGTCGTCGAATTTGCGGCCAGGAAGATGATGAAACTCTGCCCATTCATACTGTCCCGCGACGCTTGCAGCTGTATGAGGTATATGAACTTCGTCACCTTCGGGCCTGTCGTGTCGTTCGCTTGGAATATTTATGAGTTGTAAGATCAAAGGGCGTCTTGTGACTATGCCACTCCCTCTTGGTAAGAAGTCTCTGCCAACAATGTTCTCAAGTACAGACGATTTGCCGGATGATTGAGACCCCACGACAACCTGTGCAGCTGATCAGTACCGTAGATTGATGGCACCTTGTCCTCTGAAGAACTTACAATCTGCGGCAAGTCAAGAGAGTCATTTCCGATCGTATTGAAAACGAGATCTTGGAGCTTGTTGACAGTTACAAGCAAATCTTCGCTAAGAGCTGTCATCCTTGGATAGTGTCTAACAAGTCAGTTCCCCGCTGTTCTGCTAGTGGTAGGGGAAAAAAACTGTGTAAGAATACGACCTGTTAGAAAGATCGAGTGGGTCTTCTTGACATCAACACAACTTATAGGGCTAACCTTTTGTTAACGTTTCATATATTGAGGAAAGAAGTATCACAGTTCCGAATCCATGCAGCGCCTTTTATCCTATTTCGTACTTTCCAGTGACAATTGTTACGGACTTACTCCATAGTAGAGCGTTAAGGTCAGAGGATCATGTGATTATTACTAATAGAATGCGGAACCGATTCCAACAGTTTGATTCGCCCAGTTCAAAGAGCCTATCTGGGCTACCAAGCAAGTAGATAGACTATACTATCTACTATCTACTAGGGATGTATACTGTCAAACCTGTACCCGGGATTTCTTACCGTCAGGTCAGTCTGTGATACCACCAACTACTTGGCCAATGACAGGTGTAAGACGTCATCAATTTTCCTGAGGTTGTAGCCAGCTTCAGATCATACCATTGGATTGATACAAGTCTTCAAAATGTACACCATGATCGATAACAGCCGCATACCCAGTATACCTAGTACAATTACAAAACATGAAGGCGGAGTACAAGCCCACAACACTAAATGTAAGGGAGCAACATCGTCCTTCCACGGCCATACACGAACTCTTGCCCCTCTGCTTCACACGTCTTCCTGCCCAGCTGATAAATGTACGGGGCTGTCTCGCGCCGTACATTTGTACAAACTACAGGCCATCGTCTTTCACACGTTGGTCAATTTGCAAGTTGTACATAGTTTGCGGGGAAAAGTCCCTTCTTTCCAAGGTATTCACCAAGCCACCAATCATCGTCGGGGAATTCCTGGGCAGCATGGGTAATGACCCAATAGTTAGCAGTGATAACTTGGGCTATAGCTGTTATAGTAGCTCAAAAAAAAAGGAAGAAAAGGATAGGAAAGGAAAGGAAAGAAGAAGGGGGAAACAGGAAAACAACAAAAGCAAAACAGAAAAAAAAATCCAACGCTAGGAAAGGAAAGGAAGAGGAGCGAGGAGCACAGGCTGAATTATCCATGACTTACAATATTTGTTATCTCAGCGCCCTCCGGAAAGCTTAGTTCATTGTCTTCAGCAGCTTCGTAGTCGTACAACGCCGTCGCAGTCGACTCATTGACTGGAGCTGGGGCCGGTGCTGGGGCTGGGGCTTGGTCGGGAGACTCGGTAACCCTCATAACAGGCACTGGGGAATTCATCTCGACCTTATCATCCTGGACGTCCGACACGTCCTGAATTCGTTGCTCGTCTGCAATGATCTCGACATAATTACTGGGGAAAAGGCCTCTATGCCCCTGGACATTGGACCCCAGCCACCAGTCTTGATCGACCATTTCGATGTTAGTCACATACTCGCCTTCCCTGAGTTCTATCTCGTTATCCTCCGCTTTCTCGTAGTCATACTGCACAAGGGCTTGAATTCCCTTTTCTTGGAGTTCGTCGCTAACAGTAGCTTCGGCTGTTGCACGTCCAAGGTCGTGTTTATCATCTTCAAGGTCTTCATCTTTTGGTACTGTGTGTTGGAGGCTCTGAACAGGTATAACTTGTGGTGGGGAGCGTTGTTCATCATGGACATCTGTAAGTCCTTTCCCAACTGGTACAGCAATACGTATGGGTGAAGTCTCGCGGGCTGGCGTCGGTGGGGTTGGGGAGCGAGGTTGTTGCGGCGGTGTGGGAAGTGATTGATGAGCCACAGATTCATGAGAGGTTTCCGACACCTGAGAGCCAGCCTGGAGGCCAGGTAGAGGTACAGTATAACCACGATCCAGAACAGCCTCTTGTACCGGAGGAGGGTCCGAAGAACCTTGGGAGAACTGATCCCTAATGGCATGAACACTTGGTGAGTTCGGGGTATCTGTTTGAGACGAATCATTTGAGACAGGCTCCGATGTCTGATACGTTTGCGGAACGTCACTGCTGAATGACTTGCCAGTGTGTGTAGTTTGAACCGGAGCCCAGGCTTTTCCGTTGTATGAACTTTTCCAGTCCCCTCTGTCGCTATGCTGGCTTTGGGAGATTGTATCGGTGTTGGACGAATGTGACGAAACAGAAATGTTATCTAGTCCCCGTTCTCTTGCTTTCCGTTCTGCCCAGAGCTGCGCAGGTGTCTTACCACCCTCGTCGGCAAATGTGCGGCTTGCACTCCCAAATTTTGCTACTGCTGCATTCGGCTTCGAAGTGGGGACACTGGGCAGGGGTGGCTTTGTCCCTGTAAAGGTTGAATTGACACCGAACTTATTCGACACTTTCGGCTTTGGTAAGCTGGTCAGGCGCTCTGGATTACCAAGCGGTGTTACATCCTTGACTGGCTCTTGGGAGTAGTTAGTCTCACGCTCATTGCTCCCGGAAGAGGCACTTGGGTTCTGGGCTTTGGAACGAATTGCAGCGATATCGACTTTTCCAACAGGCTCGTATGCGCCTCTCACAGGCTCGGGCCGTTCATCACGAAGGTTGCCTGCTTCACGTGCCTGTTTCCTTATTGCGGCAATATCTACCTTCCCAACAGGCTGATAGCCACCTTTGACAATATCACCACGATCCTCAGGGACATTGTCGAAAGTAGTGTTTGCCGCAACGTTTGATTCCGACTTGAGCTTCTGGATATTCACCTTCGTAGGATTATAAGCTGGCTTAACCTTTTCAAGCTCGGTCCTGGTAACTGGTGGTGCATCGGGGCCCCAGCCATCGTTATCACCCTCATCTTTCCTAATCCGCCGCTCTGGACGAGTTGCTCCTGTACTCAAATCAATGGCAGCCGTTCGGCTAGGTGTAAAAACCGGCTTCGTGGATACTGGTGGTTTGGGCGTCAGAGAAGGTTGTTGAGTTGTGCCGGGAGTGTACTTTGCGCCAGATGCATCGCCAACTTTCTGTATGATTCCCTCGGCGGTTAAGTCTCCCTCTGAACGAGCTGTTATTTGTACATGATATCCCTGTCAGACTTGCGAGTTAGGCATCTGCTGTTTACACGTGTTCAGGTGCAAACTAACATGCAGGAACTTGGAAACAGCGGCCAGATGACTGGTAAAATACCCTTTTGTTCGCTCTGGGACGCCCTCCCCACACCAGGCAATGAGAACGTTTTTCGTGAGCCCCGTATTGGGGTCTACAACTTTGACATAAGCGAACTGTATTTTCCCCTCGGAAAATTCATCGATAAGATCCACCAATTCACCGGCTGGAGACTTGCGGTTAGTTATAATTTAGTGGTATCATGTGAGGAAGCGACAGACCTCCGGTATCCTGAACCTTCAAGACACTTTCCTTGTTGCCACTATCTCTCTGGAATGCATTTACGAGAGGCGTGGAGACAGAGAAGATCACCCATTGCCCGTAAGTAGGGGAACCCATGCCAGAACTGGGAAAAGACGAGTTGATCACATTTTGATAGCTCTTTGATATAGACGGTCCATTAGCTGATAAATTTAGAGTCGCCATTTCTATCAGCTTGTTAACCACGGAAGCAGCTTGCAATGACGGTGTAGAGTACTATAGGATATTCCCTATTAGATGTGATGTGTAAAAGAAACAGCAGGTCAAGTATGGCTGCTATGAAACAGTTGGTTTGAATAGCAATACCTTTCTTGAATAAGGTGAGTAGTGTTGAATAGTTTGCAGTAGAATCAGGAGTGGTTGTGTCTGCCTAGGGGATGTGTTCAGACTAGCGGGATACGTCACACCCTACTCCGTACAGAGTGCCGGAATTCGGAACAACCATGAGGCGGTGCACTTCTCTTCTGTATGTGATTCTCAAGAAATAAAATACTTTCAGAACGTTTCAACACCTCAATAATATATTGAAGCTTGAAATAGAGATTCAAATATATCAATAATACTATCATTATCTACTAACTACAGAGCACTATAAGTGGAAATTGAAAATGCCCAATAAATCATACAAACACTGCGATGACGCCTTATTAGTAAGGCAATCCAGCATTTTATTATATTAATTTCAAGATTACTTCCAAAACTGATAATGAAAAATCTCAGTATATATAGATATATGGTTGTGACATTATCTTCATATTGAGTTCGGAACCCAATAATAAGGTAAAATCCACTTACACGTTCTACAAACATTTCAAATTACAGGGCTTTCCGATCGTTGACCTGAGCGGATTCATAGAGCAACCCCTGAGGTGGCGCGATTATACTACTAGTACTAGCCTAGAAAGTACAAAAATAGTCTATTAATAATAAATACTAGCCATATAAATAATGCCTTGACGGCCTATTGTTGCTGTTAAAAGGGATATTAGTATATAGAGAATAACTAGTATCACTATTAATTAGGGGACAGGACACTATTGGTATAATTAGTAGTATATCAGCTTTTCTAACGAATCCTATCGAGACTTAATTGCTAAATTGATAATATATTGCTATAAGTATTAGCAGGTTGTTTTACTGACTTTGATTGAAAAGATAGATGTAACTGATGGTAGTACTGTTGCGATTGTACTGAATATGACCACTCGGATAGTGTAAAGGCGAGATAGAGAGACGTCTCAAGAGCTCTCTGGTGTATACCTTTTACTATTACCTACTAGGAAGAGGCTGGATTGAGAGTATTATGTACTACTTACTATAGTGGATAGTAATGGATATACCTCATACTATATGTATCAGCTAATGTGATAGGTTGTGGAAAGCCTTTAGTATTTCTATACCCTGTACAGAGTGCCACGTACGGAGTAGTACAATGCCAGGGTGAGGGGGTTTCAATACCGAGTTGTACCCGTGTATTTATTACACGCTATATGCCCTCTTGGCTAAGTGGTGACAATTATACCCTAATTCAGCTTGGAAGAAATCACAAAACTTACCTACTGGAGACACTATGCTAGTATTTTTAATTATGTAAATATACCAAACCCAGTAATTAGTTCAATCTTTTGAATCGAGGAAACTAAAATGAGAGAGACCTCATGATATACAGACCACATTCTGGACTGTGGACAGCTCTGCGTATTGAGGAAACAATTACATAAACTTACTCATACATTCTGCGGTGAGGCCTAGGTTGTCCATACTAATTTTGAAGCAGCAACCTAAACCTAACCAGTGTCACAACAACGGTACTGAAGCAACTGTGCTGTGTGCGACGATTGTGACAACCGTCAAGGGATGACTTCTTCACGGTCAAGTCATGCACCCAGGCTGGATGCCAATGCCAGCACACCTCAAGATTTATCAAAAAATTATGTTGATCAACAAACATATAACAAAAATGCCACCAGTCCTTTGTTTGTTCCTGGGGATGACGGGATAGATCATACCGAAACGAACAACAGCGACCTTGATTCAGCAGAAAAGGCGCCTGGGAATATTCTTCCAAGGGATAGACAACTGAAGACTCCCACTTACGATTATGCCTTTGAAAAGTCAATGAGCCACGCCGAAGCGAAACTCTTTTACCAGCATCACCAGATAGCATCTCGGAACGTTGATGGCGAATGTCCCAACGAAATATCAGCTATATCAAGTTCAGTAGGCGACACCGATCCTAAAGACATGGCAGGGTCACCTCCAGCGATTGGACTTGGCGCTTTGCCGACCACTCAGCGAAATCTAAGTTCCCCGAATGGAAATCGTATCTTTGACCTTCCTGCTTCCCAACAAGCCCCCGAACCACATGGTGCGCATCTTATAGTCCGACAAGACGATGAAAGCACCTTGCCGTGTCCGGACAACATGGGGAATGTCAGCGACTCTTTGGGAACTGCGCAGGGCTTGATGAACATCTCAGCCGATAGCAGCGCAGTTACCTCTGAGTTAAATGTTATCTGTCGCAAAATAAGGGGGCTACTCGATAGGCGGTCAAAGTATATGCAGCTATCATTACAGGGACCTGAGGATAACCCCAAAGACCATCCAGGATGGGAAGTCTATCCCCCTCCGCCGGAACCAGCTTGGGACAATGAGAAAGACATTGGGAAGAGTGCCGATAGCTCCCGCGTTGACCAGAAAAAGCGAAAGATGGGCCAGGATATTGGGGAGGATTTTGACATGGCCCAATGTTTGCCACTGCCTCAAGAGTCCTCCTGGGTATATAGGCTTGATGAGAATAGTGTGTACCAAGTTTATGAGAGCGATGCAGCGGCTGATTCCCGGCGGCCTGTCGTCAATATTCCTTCCTTGCGGGACTTCTATATGGACCTTGATGCAGTCACGGACGTATCAACAGACGGGCCCGCGAAAAGCTTCGCGTTCAAGCGACTGTCCTATTTGGAAGGAAAGTTCCAGCTCTATGCGCTCTTAAATGAATACCAGGAGATTGCAGACTGCAAGAAAGTCCCTCATAGGGATTTTTACAATGTTCGAAAAGTGGATACGCATGTTCATCACTCTGCGTGTATGAATCAAAAGCACCTTCTCCGTTTCATCAAGAGCAAGATGAAAAAATCTCCAGATGAAGTAGTATTGTTCCGCGACGGCAAACATCTGACGCTGAAAGAAGTTTTTGAGAGCATCAGTTTAACCGCTTATGACTTGAGTATTGATACACTTGACATGCATGTATGTCTGAAACTAATTACCCAAAGCGATCTGCAGCTCACTATGTTGCAGGCTCATACCGATTCTTTTCACCGATTCGACAAGTTTAATCTCAAGTATAACCCTGTGGGTGAATCTCGACTGCGCGAGATATTTCTGAAGACGGACAACTTCATCAAAGGACGCTATCTAGCCGAGATCACAAAGGAGGTAATTTCCGATCTGGAATCCAGCAAATACCAAATGGTAGAATGGCGTATTTCCATTTACGGAAGGTCAATCCAAGAATGGGACAAACTTGCAGCCTGGGTCGTTGACAACAAACTCTTTTCTCCCAATGTCCGCTGGCTGATCCAGGTACCTCGACTGTATGACGTTTATAAGTCGAGCGGCATGATGGAGAATTTCGAGCAGGTCATCACCAACGTCTTTCAACCATTATTCGAAGTGACAAGGAATCCCGATAGCCACCCCAAGCTCCACATCTTCCTGCAGCGTGTGGTTGGGTTTGACAGTGTCGACGACGAGAGCAAAGCGGAGCGGCGACTGTACAGGAAGTATCCAATTCCCAGGGAGTGGAACACGAAGCAAAATCCACCTTACAGCTATTGGATCTATTTCATGTTCGCCAATATTGCATCTCTCAATACTTGGCGCAAGCGGCGTGGCTTCAATACTTTTGTCTTGAGGCCACACTGTGGCGAGGCTGGAGATCCCGATCATCTTGCAGTGGGTTACCTATGCTGCCACAGCATCAGTCATGGAATTCTCCTGAGAAAGGTTCCTCTACTGCAATATCTTTACTATCTTGACCAAATAGGCATCGCTATGTCGCCTCTCAGCAACAATGCCCTGTTTCTAACATATGACAAAAATCCATGTGCTAATTTCTTCAAGAGAGGTCTTAATGTTTCTTTATCTACTGATGACCCCTTGCAGTTTGCTTTCACCAAAGAACCCTTAATTGAGGAATACTCAGTTGCTGCACAGATCTACAAGTTTAGTGCAGTAGATATGTGTGAGCTTGCTAAGCATTCAGTCGAACAAAGTGGCTTTGAGCTATCTTTGAAGAGGAGATGGCTAGGTAACGACTGCTGCCTACGGGGAGTTCCAGGAAACAATGTTGCCAAAAGCAACGTCCCTGACATTCGTGAACAGTTTAGGCATGAAACATTGATTGGAGAATTGACCCTGTAGGTTTCTATGGTTCCCCTAGCATGTGATATTACGAAGTTTGGCTACTCGATAGGGAGAGAAATATTTGTATTGACTGTGTGATGTTCAGAATTGACCGTTATGCGCATACTGGAGATGATGCAACAATTCGATTGAAAGGTCTCGCTGCAGTCAATCACCCGGGGCCTTTACCTTCGGTGCAACCAAATGCCGGCGTGAGAAGTGATTCCAATTCAGGTATGCTGATATGCACATGAGTATCGAGTGCATTCCTTCTCATCTTACCATAGGCCCGTTGATATGCGCCGAAGAATTGTCGAAATCTGAGCAAAAAGCCAAGGTTGAAGTTTGCAACTTGGCCACTCAACCTGGGAGTCAAAATACCATGAAGGGCGCGTGCATTGAAGGGCCCACATTGCAAGATCTTGAAGCGAATGCCGTGACTACGCCTGGGGAATTTGCCACGTCCTTTGGCAGTACAAGTACTGCTGGCATAACTGCGCATAGTGCGGACTGTGTGCCAGAACAAAAAATCTTCCCAGGTATTGTGCATGAAAGGGCTCACCGACATAACATGCCAATTGAAGGACTAGCTGAGGATGACAAGGAGGAAGGTTCTGGTGATAGCGAGGCTACCAGTAGTTTCACGGTATAGCATAGGTATTTGAGCGGTCTCGCCGGTATATTCAACACGTCTGGATGTGGGTCTACCGCTTTTGACCAGCAAAAATAATCAACTTTAGGATTGTTCAATTATGAGACCGAATATACACATTGTTGAGCCCCTTTCGACCAAACAGCTACATCCAGAACAATCTCTTGTGCTGCAAATTTAAACTGCGGTGATTATGCAATGGTATATACTAAGCGTCTTTCCCCGGGACTGCATATTTATGGGACATGTCAAATCGCCCAACTGCCCTTTCGTTCACAGACCCCCCATGTTCCATGATCGCCATCACCTTCAGTCATCCTGGGCCGCTTCCTAGCCCACTCTTGTATGTATAAACGCAAGGCAATCCAACGCATGCAACCCCCTTTTGCTACCCTTTTGTCCATTGAATTCCCGCTCATTATGCTGACATAACCTTTGGCATCTGTCTTTAGATCATCGCGCCTAAGATCAGCGACAGGGATACCGGAAACAATACTGAGTTCATAATCATAATAGCGAGCAACACATGGATAGCCCAGGGACAGATAATTGTATATCTGAGTAACAACGCTATCATTGAGTTCACGATCCAGGTCCTCGTCTTTGCTGATATGCTGATTCGTGTGCATGGAGGCTTGGACTTCCCTGGAGTAAACGGGCGGCGGCTTTTCGTGTTCTGTGAGCGTCCCGGTTGAGCATTTAGGAGTAGGCTCCCCGGCATCTCCACTCACACGCATGCACACCGACCGCGAGTCTTCAGAATCAGGAAATTTGCTGGATCTGCACGTCCCCATCCAAAGTCCACCACCATCACAATTATCGAAGAGATGAGAATTCGCGTACCAAAGCCCGGGGGGGTGATACGACTTGTCCTGTGGGTATTTATGTTCAGTACTATTGCTCTCACATATTGTGGTCTCTGGAGAGAAACTTTGTGGAAAGACAAGATCATCTCCAAGCATCGGTGGGCTGGGACCTTGTTTTGTTTGTGGTAACCCAAAACCGGTAGTCCAGTTTCCACAAGACTGGGTGGCTCCATCGAAAGAACGACGATCAATAGATGGAAAATGTAACCTTTTTGTTCCGGCCATTGCACGATCACACATCTCGGCTTCCTCCTTATGTCTGCGCAAGTACTCGAGTTCCCATGGCAGATCTGCAGATGATGCCCGCCGGTGTTTGCCTGATGGGAACAATCTTGTGCGGACTTGTAGCTCGTCCTCGTTCACACTGTCCTCATCTTCTTTGTCAATGGCAAAATGATCCACTGGCTGATAGACTTGTTCATTTGGGAAGGCCGCAAGTGCCTGTTCTTCAAGTTGTTTTTCTGCAGAGCGGGTCGCTAGAGCTAGCACATATTCCGAGTATTCGTTTCCGTGGTGGGATTGCGGGTTGTTTTCCGATTTCGGAGCACGTTGGAGAAGGAGGGTAGGGTGCGATCCGTGTGCTACCGAGCATCCGGAGGCATCAGAAGCCTCGCTGCAGCTAGAGGGGATTGCAGGGAGGTCGGGAACTCGAAAGGAATGCCTCCTGGTTTCCTGGCGTTGTTGCAGACTCATGTATGAGAATGGCGATTCTCTAGAGACGTCAGATGCATCGTCTGCAGGCGGGTCCCTAACGATATTGATATTGTTTGAGACCCGGGGTACTCCCGGTATACTTTCTTCAAAGGATAAAGTATGCTGCGTCTGCTGTCGACGAAACGAACGTTTCTCTGTTTCCACGAGTTGTGGTTGAAATTTTCTCGGATGTGAAAGCACGGAGCTCCTCTGTTCCTGAAGGTGAGATTCTCCTAGTCTGGCCTGCAGATGCCTATCCCTCGACCGTTGGAAAGATGTTTGGGTGGTCCCGTTTTCGGACTGTACGTCATTCGTTTCAAAGCCATCGCTCACAGGCTGGTTCCGCCTCACAGCTTCGAAGTCATTACTTTGTTGAGACAAGTTTGATTTTGTCTTAGGGGCCCGAAGACACCTCTGCTTGAGTGGATTGAGTTCTCGAGATGACAACTTCACCTGGTGAACTCGGGAACTGCGTGATGATGTTTCGATAGGTTCAGGCAGAAACCTCCTAACCCTTTTATCTGATGTAGTACTCCGATGAGACATCTCTTTGTCTTTGGCAATGATGAACAGCCACGGAGCCCCCTTTGGTATAATTTCTTCCAGATCCAGTGCCTCATTCCAAGGTCACGGAATATATTAGTAGCACTTGACTGTAGGGGTTGCGGCATTCCTATACCTCATATATCGGCACCAACATAAAGTGGACTCAGGAGGCCAGAATACATCGGTGGCGTGTCACAGCTTCTAGGAATGCATTCTAGCTGGCTCTTCCCCGCCTGTCATGTGTCAATCCGCTGTCCGCTGTCGCGGCCAGCATGTACATGCCAGCATCATGTGACAGCACTACAACTAGTAGGATTACAAGCATGCCACACGCTTACTTATCTTGATAAGTAGAATCACGAGTTATTTGTAGTGTCATGATAACACACTAGACATCAGCGCCCCACTAGTGGATACAGGAGATAACTGATGTTAGGATCATGTGCTCTTGAATTCTGTTACTTATCTGATCACCTGCTTCGAGTTCGGGCCATGCTGAGCTACCCGTGATATATGCTTAACATAAGCTGAACCCCACTAAATTGGAGGTTTAGTTTTTATTGAATTAATAAATTAGATGAAATAACAGATATTATTATTCCTCTTCAGAAACTGATTTCTAGATATGAAAATAAAGGGGGAATGAAAAATAAGTGTAAACAATGACAATATTGGAGATGGCCTGGTTGTTATAGATACATAGGGAGATGTGGAACAATGTGAAGTTAGCCTTAGGAATCAGATTAAGTCTTATATTGTGAGTCTATATGATGCAAATAATATGTATATATAAATATAAAACTGATTATTAATTTTATAAAGTCAGTATAGTAAATATTTTATTAAGTTATTTAATTATATAGATAGCTTAATTAAGTAATATATTTCTTTATGTATTTTATAATCTTAATATATTAAAAAAGTATACTGTCTATTACAAGATTATTTAAGATATTTAATATTTTTTTCTTTATATAAATATCTTGTCCTGAGACAGTAAAATATAGATTATAGTAATATTTATATAATTTATATAATTTTAATATTATTTAATTAGAAACGTCTTATTGGATGTGATTATAAATTATTACTTAAATATTTTTATTAAAGTAATTACTAATTATATTAAAATATTTAGTCTGTATAGTCTTGTTTTTACTATTTTAAAAAGATAATACATTATTTAAGTAATATATATGTGACGGCAACGTGAATCAAGGGTAATGAGTAGTATAATAATCTGTCTAGAAGTGAGGGGGCTCGTCAACATAGCTATATACTGGAGAACTGATATATAGATATAGAAAGCACGGGGAAGATCTCTAGCAGAAAGACAGGATTATAATATTAAATAATAAACAGATTATTATAGAGAACCGGAACCTCTGCTACATATATAAATAAAGTAAAAAATTAATAAAACAGTTATATATTCTGTAAATAAAAGAAAGGCAATATTCTTATTATATAAAATAAAAAGTAAAGATATTAATTATTAAAATTAAATATTAGGATTAAAAATATCTTTTGGATATCAATAAATAAGGTCTGGAATATCTATATTATTTTTATAGATTTAAAAGTTATGATTTCCTTTATAATTAAGATAATAAATAAGATATTATATAAAGAAAGGGCCACGATTATAATATATATAATGTCTATTAAGAAAATGAATTTTCTAGTAATCTGTGTTTATAGGGCCTGGTTTAATAAGATTACATTTAAATAAATTAACATTAGCAGAATTAGGATTAGTAAAGTTATTATTATTATTGAGAGAATTAATAAAATAATTATCTATATAAAAAGCATTACTGATACAGGGAAAAGATTTAGGTTAAGTAATAAATAAGATATTATAGATATCTTATAACTTAAACAGATCTAAATAGTATATGTGTTAATTAATATTGTTAGATGCCTCAGGTAATCCTGCGACAGACCGCGTGTCCTCCGAGCATGCCAGGATTATGGGACTTGCAGGAAGACAAGCCACTTGACTAAGTAACCTGTACAGTCAGATAATTTAATAAAATATTTATTATACTAGTCACCGGGAACTCTGAAAAGCTAATAATTAGTTTTATATTTATATATACGCATTGTTTGTATTATATAGACTTGTAATATAAGACTTAATCTAATTTTTAAGATTAATCTTATACTGTTTTATATCACTCTATATATTTTTAATAATTTTAATTACTCTTTTTATAAGAAAAGTCCAGAACTAAAAATAGTATCTTATACTTGAAATATAATTTCAGGAAAAGACTTATTTAATTTATTAAATACCTTTATTACTAAGTCTTTATGTTTTGAATAATTAGATCTATAATATAATAAGAAGCTTGTAAGTATGGCTAGATTAATTAATTATCTTAAAAATAGTATAACTGTATATTAATACTAGATATTTTTATTATATTTATTACTAGTTATATTAAACTATTCTATCCGTATAGCCTTGTTCTTATTATTTTAAAAAAGATAATACTTTAATAAAATAATATATAATAGTATAAACTTTATTTTTCTAACTTACTTATAGTAATATTATAAATAATAAATAAATAAAGAAACTAAATAAGAAAACTATTTTTACTTAATATAGCTTTATTTTATTATAAGTATAAAAATTCTTATTTTTTATTATTTATATAATTCTTCTTCCGTTTTTTTCTTCAGATACTTTATTCTTGTAGTCTTAATATATATATTAATTATCTTATATTATTAAATATAATTTTCTTTTTAATTATATTTTTTATTTCTTATTATATATTTTATAATTACTGTTTAATTATCTAATATTAATATTATATAATTTTTATATTATTAATCTGATATTATATAACGTAATCGGTAAGCGAGCGGGCCACCTCACGCGTTTTTGGCCGCGGTTGGAAACCTCGCTCAACCCAACCACCAACCATGCCTCCAAAATCGCGTCAAAATTCAAGAAATTCAATTGAGCAGGAGGGTAGGATTCTACTAGCAGTTACTGCTTTAAAAAATAAGGAAATCTGTAATATTCGCGAAGCAGCACGTCTTTATAATGTTCCACGTACAACCCTCCAACAACGATTAAATGGCCATACTTTTCGAGCAGAGACACGCGCAAATGGTCATAAAATGACTCAAAATAAAGAATATTCGCTAGTCAGATGGATCTTATCACTAGATCAACATGGAGCACCTCCTCGGCCATCTCATGTACGAGAAATGGCTAATATTCTCCTTTCTCAACGTGATACTACACCTATTTATCAAACCCTAGGATCGCTTCTCCCTGTCCCTGTTAGCTTAGCTTCACTGGTGTACGTACCGTCGAACTGAATCGAGGAAGTATCAGGCTGATGATTATCTAGGAATAACTGGTCTTGGACAAGAGAAGAGAAGTAAGGCTGAATAGTGCCATGTAGCTATCTGTAAGTGAGTATAGATAAGTATTATCATTAAGCATTCTAAATATATAGTTACTTAAAGATAGTAAGATTGAGCATGAAGAATAGAACTAGCTAAATATATAAAAAAATATTCTTATATATTTTATTCTTTATATATTAAGTTATATATCTTTCTATATACTGTATATTATATACTATATATCTATATATATACTATTCCATATACCCGTGATTATATAATATATAGCTGTTTCAGGTGTTGATTACTTAAGCCAAGATTCTATCTGATAAGAGTTACTGATTGTCTAGACATTGCCTTCTGCCTGACAAGTCTGCTTTACTAGTAGCTTTAACTAGCAGGGGTCTATAATACCACTTTCCCTTCTTCAAGATTTCTTATTCTTAAGAAATATAAAGATACGCATTCCCTTCATGGGTGTCTCTAGGTTCTTTAGTTTCTTTTTCTCTCAAGATAGGTCATCATGCCGAAACGCAATAAATACACTGATAATAAACATTTAGTTAATAAGATTAAAAGTTCCGACCGTCCTGTTAATATTCTGTGTGACTTTTATTTTACTTAAAGCAAGCTTTATATTATAAGTTTAATTATATAAAGTAAGAAATGTTTAGCTTATGCTTTGCGCGGTTGCAAGTATGAAAAATAATTTAATAATGATTTTGAATAAGATAAATTAAAGTATAAAAAAGAGAAAGTTATAACTGATCTTAAAGCAGCTTAAAAGTAATTCATACAGTACTTTAAAAAGATGAATTAAGTAATGATAAAGGTTCTTTACTTGTAAAAGCATCAGTAATTTCTAAAAGATTATAATAGTCGGATGTTAGATTATGACTCTGAGATATTAGAGTATTTAGATAAGAATGATTCTCTAAGCGCTGAGGATCTCCGAGAGCTAGAGTGTCTAGTTAATAAATACAATGCTGCTCAACTTGTTACTGTGTTAGACAACCCTAATCTAACTCAGTTAGTTAGTTCCCCTTCCTTCTGAACAAACTTTAACCTATTTATTAATAATACTGCTCTATAAGCTGGTAACAGTCTGTCAAATTCTTGATAGATTTCTATATGCTTTCTGAGATATTATATCCTTTTTACTTTATTAAGTAGTATGATTTACTACTAATCTTCTTATAGTCCAGGATCCTTTTAACTTTATATTCTTGTTTAATGTTGTCATTGATCTCCATATTTTTTGTGATTCTAGCGTTCTTTGGTGCAGGTTCCAATAATAAGATATGAAACACTGGATGAATTTTGCTCATTGATTTCAGTAGCCTTAACTTATAATTGACTGGGCCTTTCTTCTCTTCGATGATAAATGGTCTTAGTTTGTGATGGTTGAGCTTCTGGCTTGGTCGTTTTGTTTTGATGTTTCTGCGGAGTAGAAACACATTCTCTCTCCTTTTTAGGTCAGGTTTCTCCCCGTGTTGATGATCGTAGTAGATCTTACTTCGTAGGTTCATGAATTCGATATCTCGGATGCATATTATTGTATATGCATTGCGGAAGGTGAAGAATGGAAAACCGTGTTCAGAACAAAGTATGGACACTTTGAGTACTTGGTTATGTTATTTGGGCTTACCAATGCACCGGCATTATTTCAGCAATACATTAACAAGATACTGGGAGAATATCTTGATAAATTCATGATCACTTATTTAGATAATATTTTAATCTTCTCAAAGACAGAAGAAGAATATGTTAGATATATGAGACTTGTTCTATATAAACTACGCCTACATCAGTTACAATACAAGCTGAAGAAGTATGAATTCTATATAAAGAAGACAGAATTCCTGAGATACTGGATATTCACAGAGAGAGTCTATACTGAGTAAGCTAAAGTATAAGCCATACAGGACTGGCCTTAATCCAAGAACTTGAAAGAACTACAGCAGTTTATTGGATTAGTTAATTACTATTAATAATTCATGGATGGATATACTAGCTACATAACACCACTCTTTAAACTTATAAAGAAGTTATAAGAGTATAAGTAGGAAGAACCACAGCAGCACACGTTTAAGAATATTAAACAATGACTTATTATATTACTAGTACT